GTCCGGGATGGTTCTGAAGACGTAAAACCCGTGTAGGCGGCTCGCGTGGACCCAGAGAGGAGACGGTAATGGATGCAGGCAACCGACCGTCCCGGCAGGAGGGCGGCCGAAACGCGGCTGCCAAGGATACAACTTGAAGCGTAACACCGAAGAGATCTCGCCACTTTAACACGGCGCCTAACTGGCACGGGCGGCGGCCACGATAAACGCGCCACGTATTACAGCGGTGAAAAACTGTGGAGTACATCACCTCTTGGCTCAGTTTGCAAAAGACCAACCAGCTGTTTGTCTGCCCACCACCAGTAGAGTGTCACAAGCAACCCTCCGTCACCACCTTCTCACTTCTCTGGGGGGGATGAACCCACCACGAGGGCAGCGTTGAGCCGTCGTCCCGTTAGAGAGCTCTGCCTGAGCCTCGGCAGGTGACTGCTGCGCCTGGGGTGAGTATTACTCCCCCGCTTCTCCTTGACAGATGTTAAACTATACTGAGCCAAGCTGTACCATACCCTCCCCCCCATCGTAGCATTACTGGGCGTCGTCTGTATTGACTGTATCACCTTAAATTGTCTTCACTATTTTGTAATGTTCATTCTTATATTATATACTTTATTGTTTATTTGTTAATTTTTTGTGCGGGGTCGTTTTTATTGTTTTTATTTATTTATTTTTTGTCGGGGGACGACCGTATCCAAGAATTTCCAACGTCAACAGAGGCTTCCATGCTCTACCCCTAAAACAAACTGCACTACAAGACGACCCGATGAAGCCCTGACCTCGTTTGGGGTCAGCACATGATGGCTTAAACGATAGTAGCTGACTCCTGTTGTTTACCGCTCGTGGTGGAGGGGTGTCAAGTGGTCCGATACTTTACAATGCCTCATGAACGTGACGCCGACCACCCTCCGACACCTCAAGCTTTCCTCGTGGAGTCAGCTTAACGTTCACACACCGGATGATTGGCTCCGCAGCTTATTTTACCTGATGGTTAAATACCCTAATGCTACCTTGGGGGATAGGGGGGGGGGGTTAGGTTAGCGTTAGGGGAGTTAATCTTAAGGTAAAATAAGCTGGGGGGTTGTGAAGCTTCTTGTGAAATAAGCTGGGGTGTTGTGAAGCTTCTTGTGAAATAAGCTGGGGGTGTTGTGAAGCTTCTGGTGAAATAAGCTTGTGCTATTTTGAAGCTTCAGGTGATACGATAATATTCTAGGGATATTTTGTACAATTTGTAACTAATATCATTCTCACGTTTGTTGCAGAAGTCGAGGTTTACAGCTTACATGCTCTGGGCGCGTGAGATTCGTCCCGGCATCATTCAGGCAAATCCTAACATGGGTACGTACGACGGTTGTGGTAACACTGTAGTTTCCTCATCTTGTTTCTTGGCCACACTTTTTGGGGGGTTTGTGAAGATATTAGGCGTCAACAGTTACTATCTTAATTACGGTTCAATATTATCACCGCCAGTCAATACACCCCGGTCAATAGACCCCAGTCAATACACCCCAGTCAGTCCACCCCAGTCAGTCCACCCCAGTCAGTCCACCCCAGTCAATAGACCCCAATCATTACACTGAGTAAGTCCACACCCCAGTCAATGGGCCCCATTAATTAGTGCAAAAGTCAATACACCCCAGTCAATAGACCCCAATCAATACACCCCAGTCAGTCCACCCCAGTCAATACACCCCAGTCAATAGACCCCAATCATTACACCCCAGTCAGTCCCTAAGACGCTTAAAAACATCTCTTTCATTTGTTTTTGTACTAAAGTTCAACGTTATTATTTATATTATCTCCTTATATTTGATTATAGTCTTTTAAACCATAATTATAATTCAGCGACGTGACCTAAGCCGTTGCATCGCTGGGGGTGTAATTACCACGATGAATCAGTCAATCTCGTTTCAGATTTCTCGGCTGTCAACAAGAGGCTGGGAGAGCTGTGGGCCTTAGTGCCTACCACTCAGAAATATGTAAGTACTGTACCGTCATTCTGATTGGTAGTTGGCCGATTAGCTGTGGTTATTGATGATGTTTCCTTTAGTACTCTTTATTTAGGTTAGGTTAGATTAGATCTGGTTATATTAGATTAGGTTAGAGGAGCTTAGGTTAATGTAGTGTTCTCTCTCTCTAGAGCTAGAAGGTTGACTGAGAGTGCTTTGTTATCCTTTACTAATGACACCTTAAATTCCTTTGATGACAGTCAGTTCACAGTCAGTATATTCTTGGACCTCTCTAAAGCCTTCGATACTGACGACCATACCATCCTCCTTTCAAAGCTTGAACATTACGGCGTAAGGGGCCCGTCCCACAATTGGTTTACCTCATATCTGTCCAACAGGATGCAGTATGTCTGTTATAATAACCACCAATCTGACTCCTCACCAATCTTGTATGGAGTCCCCCCAAGGTTCAATTCTCGGTCCAGTACTCTTTTTGTTGTACATAAACGACATAGTCCACGCCAGCCCACTCATAAAATACAACTTATTTGCAAACGATATTAATGTCTATGCCAGCAACTCAGACCTCCATTCCTTGATGAGAACTATGAACACTGAATTAACTAAAGTCGGGACCTGGGTAATACGTAATAAACTGACTTGGACCCCCTGTACCTTGGTAATATAGTTCTCAAACGTAAACAAAATACTAAATTCCTCGGAGTTATTATTGATGAAAAACTTAACCGGAGAAACCACATACAAGCCATTCACAGTAAAGTCAATAAACAGTGCGGTATCATGTATCACACTCGACAGTCACTCACTCGCACAGCAATGAAAGAAATGTATCATGATCTTGTTTACCAACACCTGATACACTGTCACACACTATGGGGGGCCTCTGGCTCTTCAAAAACACAATCTCTGGTTACTGCACAAAAGAGAGTTGTACGGACAATGACCTACTTGAAAAAAACAGATCACACAAACGAAAAATTTGCTATATTGAAATTTTTAAAACTCGAGGATATTAACACCTACTGCTGTGCCCTCTTTGTTTACAAATCTATCAATCACTTGCTTGACAATAATTACTTCCAGTTCCGGAATAATCAGAGATACAACTTAAGGCACCCAGAGTTACTAAGACCACCCCCCATGCGCTCCTCTCAGTCCCAGACCTCCATAATATATCACGGTGTGAAGGTGTGGAACAACTTACCCCCACCCATCCCACCAAACACTACGCTCCCTTCCTTTAAATCATCTCTTAAAAAAAATATCTATTGTCGAAGTATTAATACTAATTGTAACACTTACTATATTTACAGTACCTGCTTTTATTGTACCACCAAAACCGTTTTATCGGAAATTATCATGTAAATAAATAAGTAATTATCATTGCAATAAACATAATTGCCAACTAGACATAATCCTGAAAGCTCTGTCCTCTTGTTCAACCTTATTACTGTACAACCCAGGTTATACTTATGTTTTTAAATTCCACTCTAATTTATATGTGTATGTGTGTATATATATATATATATATATATATATATATATATGTGTGTGTGTGTGTATGTATGTATGTATGTATGTATGTGTATATGCATGTATAAATAAACAAAATAATACAAAATAAAATAAAAAAATAAAAAATAATAAAATAAATAAATATTGAAGTGATAACCGTGGTAACATGTTGTTATTACCACCATGCTATTGTACTATTCCAGATGATATTAAATGTTACATAATACTTCCTTGAGATAAATGTATAGTATATATCAGGTGCAGCTCAGGTTCTCAACTGGCTCAGCCATGTTAATATTGTTTTTATTATCCACTCTGTATCTGTGTTTTTCTGGCTAAATAAAATGTTACAATTCAATTCTCTCTCTCTCTCTCTCTCTCTCTCTCTCTCTCTCTCTCTCTCTTTTGTCTAAACTATTTTATTTTCCCTAATTGTTGTAGTTGATAATTGGACCAATCCATCCGTCCATCATCACAGAATTGGAAGCGTCGAGCCAAACGTCTGGCTGCTAAAGGCAACCAGAAGGGGTCCATGATCAGCACGGGGAAGGCGGCCAAGCAGTCGCAGAACACCGTCCGCAGCAACCTCATCAACAAGGGCGGCGTCAAGCCCCAGCAGGTGATACGTACGACGTCCAAACAGCCCGACGTCGGACAGTCTGCCCCGGCACCCACGCAGAAGACCCACGTCGCCACGCCAAAGTAAGTACCCGTTCGATGTACGTCCACTATCCGATCGGTCGCGTCGCTTATCGCGTGAACGATCGCGACGCCCGGACGTAGCTTTGGCGTAGCGTCCGGATCGGGTCGCAACTCCCCGATTACGACTCGCCTTCGCCGATTGCCTCGAAGCTACGTCCGTCCTCGGGTGTGCCTTTCTCGGACGTCGCGATGACACGCAAGCGACGTGGCCGATGACCCAACCACATGTGTATCTTATAGCCTGGGGTGGGATCTGTTGGGGGTTGGTAACAACACAGCAGAGGCCACACCACAGCGGACGCCACACCGTGAACAAACAACTCTGTATATGAACCAAACTCGTCGCTGCCGATGTATGTTACAGTGGTCCCTCGGTTAACGAGCGCCTCGGTTAACGAGTTACCTTCCATAAGATTCTTAACTTCGGTTAACGAGCAATCCCTCGATTAACGAGTTTTTAACGAGCGCCCCTCCACATGTTTTCGCTTGCATTTGGCGGTCCACCAGCTGTAGTATTAGTCCGCCAATACAGTAATCGGTTCTAGGGCTTATATTCCTTACCATTTTAGTAAATATCAAGAAGTTTATACTATTCAATAATTTTAAAAGTTTAATATTAAATTTTTTAGCCATTTTAACAATTATTGAACATAATTGAAGATAAAAAAACAAGTTTCTGGCGTGCCATCCAGTCTGTTAACACACCAGACAGGAGTTAGTCTCTGTCTTTTCACTGGAGGTAACATCTTGCTTGAGACTCTCTTCAACTAAATGCTTTCTTTCTGTGTTTCCAAGCAAATTATTGGTCATTTTGAAATTTATTTTACATATTGACAATATATAATGCGGTGTTTTTTTTTTGTTTTTTTTACGGGTATTAGCCCACCTGGGCACAGGTAATGACCCATATCAGGGCCTGGGAGGCGAAAATATAATAACAACTAATAATAATTATAATAATATTAATTATAATAATAATAATAATAATATCTATTATTATTACAACAATTAATAAAATTAATAGCAAATTAATACAAATAAAATAATAAACAATTGAGACCCTGCAATTGTGTGTAAATGAGGCAGAAAGTCAGATCAGCAACCTGGGATTTGGTCACAATTTTTGTGATGCCATATGGCAGCAGGGTCTACCATTAGACAACACATATGCTTCCAATATCTTCCCAGGCGGTAGTGGGAGCTGCCTACTACCTACTACCTGTAGTGTTGATTTAAAGAAAATAATCTTGAATTACACCAATAGAACTAAAATTTTATGGGTGAAATGGCACCATGGGGTGACTTCTCTTCCACCCCAATGCCTTCTCTTCTCCCTTCTCCTCCACCCCCATTCTAATTCCCATCATCATCATCCAGGAGCCTTCTACATACACACCACAAAGTAAGTGTACTTTTCTTCCTTTTTTGTTGAATTTAGGCAATTTTCGGTGAGCTGGAACCAATTACCCAAAAACCCATTGAAACAATGGTTTCGGTTAATGAGTTTTTCGATTAACGAGCAACCTGCTGGAACGGATTGTGCTCGTTAACCGAGGGACCACTGTATATATTATCGTGAACGATACATAACCAAAGCGAATGTTAATATCGGTGAGTCAGGTGTTGGCTGGGACGCTCATACCTTATAGTACAGCTATAAGTGTCAGCAGCACCTGTGTTGTGGCCCATGTTGTGTAGTAGATGACAGACTGTATATTACACTTTACCTGGTCTACATGTACAGTCGACCCTCGTTAATTCGGACCCTTTTAATCCGGATTTCGGATAATTCGGACAAAATCTGAACTTTTTATTATTATTATTATTTTTTTTTAGATTTGTAGGAATATTACCTACGCGGACCTTAAGCTAAAATGCTGGTCCACCCACTGCTGGGATAAAACACCAGCGTCTTTTTGGTTAAATGTAACATCACCACTAGTGTGGGGGGGGATGCAACTTTTAGCTTCAGACATGAAAAATATTTACCATTTACTGCCAGTAAACAATGGAAACGTAAAATATGTACCAATTAGTAATGAAAAGTTGTGCAGTTCCTTCAGCAAATGAAGCTCACCAACTTACAATACGCTAAATTACCGTACAACGTGCTTTCAGCAGCCTATATTGAAGTTCTTAGCACAGGCTAACTTATCATATCATATACGGTATCACAGTTCTCATTGATCTACAAAAAATATCGGTAAAAAAACTTTTCGATATTTCACACTTAATATAATACCCGGTAATCTACTTCAACCTCCTATTGTTTACAACGACGCATGACGCACCACCAGCTGTTGAGTATCAGCTAGACGGTACATGTGTTTTTCGAATCGTTTTCAGTTAAAAAACTGTTACATCACATGTATATTTTACCTTAACTGTGCCTGAATGAATATATTCTCGGAAATAAATAGTAGTTTTGCTGAAACGTGATGTATTTTAATGTAAAATAGGATAAAATACATGACGAAAACAAAAGACTTTACCTAACCTTCCGATGTTCTTGAGATGTTACTCGTTTTTTTAATAGTTTTTGGTTAAAATTCTGTTATATTACAATGATATTTTATTCATACTGTGCTTGATATAATACATTCACGGAAATGTAATATTTTTGCTGAAATGACGTACGTATTACAGTGGAAAGTGGGATAAAATCGTGACGGAAACAATGACTTTGAAATATAATGCAATATTAACCCCTAAATCGGTTAATTCGGACAATCGGCTAAAACGGACACCCTTCCCCCCCTATTAGTCCGAATTAACACGGGTCGACTGTACCAGTAATCATATATAACCATGGAGAAAATCACCATTGGGGTATTAATGTACGTAGAGTTGTGTTAATGGATTGTGTTCCTAGAGTTGTGTTAATGGATTGTGTTCCTAGAGTTGTGATAATGGATTGTGGATGTGTTCAGTGTTAGTATAGTATTGGAGGAAATAGTTAAGTTGGTACGGGCTTCAACCTTTAACACCGAGTAGTAGGGTGTGTGTGTGGGGTGGGGGTGTGTGTGTGGGCTGGGTGGGTGGGGGTGTGTGTGTGGGGCTGGAGGTTTCACATCTAACGAACCCTCGATATAACGGACTTTTATCTCTAAATATTGTAGTGTACTATTGTGTAGGCATCAGTGTATACGGTGAAGAACTATAGTGTACAATGTGTGGCTATCAACTGGGACACTTCAACAAACCTAAGTTCTTTCCGTTTCTCAACTTGCAGACGTGTTGCAAGAATTGGTTCACCGAGGACAAGACAGAAAGCCAGTGACTCACTTACCAAAGGTGAAGTGTCGAGAAACATAACAGAAGGTTTTACGGTGGTCAGTGAGGGCGTCAAGATAGAGGAGGAGGTGGAGCAAGTAACGACACAGTCTGTTCTGACGGCCCAGGACGTACACAACATGGCCAACGTCATTAAACAGTCGATCTTGAACAGTGAGGAATTAAAGAAAGGGGCCACTTTGACATTACAGGCTGTTTTGAAGGCCGAACACGTAGAAAACGCGGCCAAACTAACAACGCAATGTATTTTGAAGGCCGATGGCGTAAACAAAACAGACAATGTGACGAGACACTCCACTCCGACGACCGAACCGGTAAACGATACGTGTGCCATGAAGACACAGTCCGTTGATGAGTGCAACAGCCTGTCAGACTTTCACGTCACGAAGACAGAAATATTGGAAGGCAAGGTCGTTTACACTGTGACCAGAACCGTCAAAAGCAAGAACATGAAGATAATTGTGAGCGACTCGGCGAAGGACTGCAAGGGACGCCCCGAGGTGCCGGCGAGGTCGACAGCCGCCGACGACGTCTCGGCGAACGGCGGTGGAAACTTCGGAGACGATTCGGAAATTGTCAAAGCGAATCGCGGGAAGACCGACATAGTTCCCGTCAAGGTGACCGTGCTAAAGGGGCGCCCGAAGGCGGACGATGCGGCCAAATTCACGTCGCCCTCCGTCTCGAAGACCGGAAACGGATGCACGGTGAAGATCGTGACGGAGGGGCCGCAGGGCTCCAAGGCCGCGGGGATGCAGAAGACGATCGCCGCCGTATTTAAGGACATCGGCAGATACCACGAGTGTTGTCCCGAGATGCTGGAGAGTGCCATAAGGGCGACACTCTTGAGAAAGGTGGCCCAGTCGCTGGCTTCAGAGATTTTCTGCATCTACGTCGGGAGGCTCAGTAGATGCCTCAGGTTGATGCCCCTGCTGACCAACGCCACGAAAGACAAGACGTACCAGAGGACGTTGACTCGGTTCTCTTCCATGACCGACGCGGACAGGTTCTTCGAGTGGATGTTGAGGATGAGACAGATGGGACGACTGCCCGTAGAGCGGGACAAACACCTCGTAGCTTTCTACCTCGGGATGGACAAGGTCCCTCAGGGCCTCCGCACCTTCCTCCTCCGATACGGGGAACAAAGTGTAGATTACCAGGACTGGTGCTACATGACCAGACCCGCGATCAACAACTGGAAGCTCAGACTCAGTCGACACCTCAACCTCCACCACGGCGTCAGCCCGGAAGAGCTGTTGTCCGAGGGTAATTCCCACCGTATCTTTAGCTGCGTGGAACTGTCTCTCTCCCTCGCGCGCGTCGCCACGGAGGTCTACGTCCAGCGGGGGTACAAAAACACGTACAGCTTCGCGGGTCTGTCCGACGAAGGCACGTGCACGATGGTGACGTTCTCCGCGGCCGGTCTCTTCCTCAAGCCCCTCGTCCTCCGGGCGGGTTACTCCATGCCGCCGTGGAGTCGGTCGGGGCTGGTGGACGAGACTCTGTTCCACAGTGGGGCGTCCGCCGACGGTCAGTTAGACCCGCTGGTCTTCCTCAGTTGGCTCAAGCTCTTTAATGCCGAGATAGAGGAGAACAAGATAAAGAAGCCCGTCTTACTGTTGGTCCACGGCCACCCCTGCCACGCCAGCCCGGCCGCGGCCACCTACTGCCGCAGGGAAGGAATAATACTCTTCTCCCACTATCACTGGCCCCTCAACCTTATGGATCCATTTCTGAGAATGTCGAGTAAGTTTCACTACCACTACGAGGCGAGCGTCCGCAAGTTTCAAGACTCGGTCGGGGACAAGCCTCTCAAGAAGAAACACTTCCCCGCGGTGCTCCTGGACGCCCTGAGTCTCTTGAAGGAGCAGAAGGAGGTGGCTGTGTCTGCCTTCTTCGCCAGCGGTCTGGTGCCGTTTAACATGGCGTGTATTAAGTCCAATCTGCACACCAGTTGTTTAACGTCTGCCTACACGGATCTGATGCCTTACCCGGTCAAGCTGTGCAGGACCAGATCGTGGTACGGGAGCGACGGCGTCTCGGGTAAGACGTTTGAACCGGCGCCCCAGATACACCTTCCTTACTGGTGTGACTTATCCTTACCTCACACTCTACAGAAGATGCTGCAGGGTCTGCCCTCACCCAAGGATGTGCTCCGACTGGAAGACCCCCTGCTGGTGCGTCACGAGCCCCTGCTGTCGGACGCAACCCATAAAGACGTGGTTCACGTGTACCAACGGTCGGGCGGAGGGGGGTGGGGGGGCGACGGTCACATCAGGGAGGATCCCGTACTCGAGACGGACGACGGCGTCTTCGTCACCTGCGATGACCTGCTCTATGCTTTCTCCCGGGACGCGGAGACGGACGACGCCGGAGCCTCGGGAGATTCTTGGTCTACGGGGCCGGGCGGCGACGCAGCCACATGCCAGGAGAGTCTTCTCGGCGACCGGGGACGCCGCGGCGAGATCGACGACCGGGACGCGACTCCCGGCGAGTTCCGTGGCGTCCGGTACCTTGCCGAAAACAACGACGCGGACTCCGCCGCTTCGGAGACGTTCAAGATACCGTGCGTGTATATCAAGTGTGAAAACCACGGAGACCCACTGCCCACAGGTGAACCGCGGGCGGCTAGGAGTGGTGACAGAGATACAGAGTTGTAACCAGTGAACAAATGAACAGTTGTAAATACACAACTGGTGTACTACATTTATTGTAAAAAATTGACTTGATGTCTGTAAATACTCATTATTGTAGAAAATGGACATAATGCAGTACATTACAGATACATAGCTACAGGTTACAAAAAGAATGAGTATAATTTTGTAAATACTTATACTGTAACCAAGTGACCGGGTCTTTGTCGTCCCTGGCCATAACTGCAGTGAGTCGCTCAAATGGGACGGTCGTTTGTTAGTATCGTTCAGCCTCGGTTAAGTACACTACAGTATTATGTTTTGGAGTTAGGACGACAACCGGGTATTTGTCGGACGAGATTTGGATAGGTTAGGATAGGTAATGGCTGTGACCCTCTTTGTAGGTCAGGTTAGGATAGGTTAGGACCCTCTCCGTAGGTCAGGTTAGGATAGGTTAGGACCCTCTCCGTAGGTCACATTATGCCATAGAGTGATGCGTCCTTCCCGTCGCGTACAGACTAAACACATGACCGACACCGTAACATATCTCAGGAAAGATGTTTACACGCTGCCCTACGGAAGTCGTGTGAGTGGTATGACGGTAACATTGTCCTCGAGGGGTTGATGTGTGAGGTCTGCGGGGACAATGTTGCCGTCATAACACTGTGCGAGTCTTCACGCACTCACTTCTAGAAGCCAATAAGACGCTGGAATTTAGGGTAATTAAACTGGTGATTTTTTTACTATATAGCAAATAAACTGTCATTATATATTGTATGTTATGTCAAGATTGATTTTTTATGTTATTCTTGAGGTCATTAATCTCAGAAACTTTTATTACCTAGTCGAGGTAAACAGTGGAACCTCTATTTAATGGACTATATGGAGGTAAGTCTACTATATCGAGGTTTCACTGCTGCCAAATGTTATGTTGCAATATTCTCAGAAAAGATACAAATTTATGTTACAATTTATATAAGAAACTTTGTAAATAATTAATAGATAAATTGTCTTGAGATGTGATAATTCATTATTTTTTTTAAGAAACTTGTAAATATTTAAAAGGAAATATTTTATCTTGGAACCTCCATTTAGTGGACTATATGTAAGTAAGTCTACTATATCAAGGTTTCACTGCTGCCAAATGTTATGTTGTAATATTCTCAGAGAAGATAAAAATTTATGTTACAATTTATTTAAGAAACTTTGTAGATAATTAATACAGGTTGACATCCCTCTATCCGAAAACCGAAAAAAAAATTGTGGGGCAATTTTTTTTTTTTTTCTTTTTTCTTTTTTAATATGGGTATTAACCCACCCAGGCACATGTCACTGACCTACATCGGGGTCTGGGGGTGAAAATGTAATACAGTGGGGTATGCTATAACGAATCTAATTGGTTCTAGAACCTTGTTCGTTATAGCATTCATTCGTTATAGGATTAATCCGTTCCAGGCCCCCAAATACAACCACTTAACACTGAAAAATATAAAATAAAATTGTAAAAATTGTAAAAAAGTGCATAAATGTGCATCTAAACCCCTGAAATAAAGAATATCGTTAATACTTGTAATAAAAAAAAAGAATTTAAATAATGTTCATTGTAGGAGTTTCGTTCGTTATAACATTCTCAATTTTATAGGTAAAACCGTTGGTTATAGGAATATTCGTAGTAGGATCCGTTGGTTATAGCATACAGTACCCCACTGTAGTAATAATAATACGTACAGGTAATAATAATAATGATAACACAGTAATAATAAAAATTATTCATAGAAAAAAAAATAAAAAAAATACACAAAAATAAAATAAGAATGATAACAATAATAATAATAATACTGTAATAATGAAATAATGAAATAATAATAATAATAAAGAAATACAAGAATGAAAAAATGATCAAAAGTGAGAAACATGACCTATGAATTATTATTATAATAATAATAATTATTATATTTTAGCCCCCAGGCCCCAATGTGAGTCAGTGACCTGCTGTGCCCGGGTGGGCTGATTCCCTGTAAAAAAAAAGAAAGAAAACTAACCATTCTGAAATCCGAAAAATTCCAAAAACCGAAATGCATCTGGTCCCAAGGATTTCGGATAACGGATTGTCAACCTGTAGAAAAATTGTCTTGAGATGTGATACTTCGTTTTGGTTTATTTAAGAATCTTGTAAATATTTAAAGGAAAATACTTTATCTTGGAACCTCTTTTTAACGGACTACAGCTCATCCCGCACTTACGACCTGCCTCGGTCGTACCAAAATTTGGTCAAATTACGTATTTTCGAGTCCCAAAGTCAGTACACAGACAAAATTTTCATCTGTAATTCACTTTCAAATGGCTGGCAAGCTTAAAAGTGAGAGTTTTGTGGTGCTGAGAAGAAAAACAACCCCCATTTTTTATTTTCTATGTATTATTTAAGCATTTCCGACACGACCATTTCAACTTACGACCTGGATGTCAGTCCCTAACCCCGTCGTAAGTCGGGCAGCAGCTGTATATGTAGGTAAGTCTGCTATATTGAGGTTTCACCACTGCCAAATGTTATGTTGCAATATTCTCAGAAGAGATTCAAATTTATGTTTCAATTTATATAAGAAACTTTGTAAATAATTATTAGATATATTGTCTTAAGATGTGATAAATTCGTTTTTTTATTTAAGAAACTTGTAAATATTTAAAAGGAAATATTTTATCTTGTGATACTTTTGTACAAGTAAATTTTGTTCAGTTTAAAGGAAAATAAGATTATCTTGAACTGTGATTGTGTGTTTTAATGCTACTGTGTCCTGGGTTCATGTCCTGACTACAGACTGTACCTTCTAGATACCTTCACTTAACACTGAGACTCTACCTTAACTAGATACCTTCACTTAACTCTGAGACTCTACCTTAACTAGATACCTTCACTTAGCACTGAGACTCTACCTTAACTAGATACCTTCACTTAACTCTGAGACTCTACCTTAACTAGATACCTTCACTTAGCACTGAGACTCTACCTTAACTAGATACATTCACTTAGCACTGAGACTCTACCTTAACTAGATACCTTCACTTAACACTGAGACTCTACCTTAACTAGATACCTTCACTTAGCACTGAGACTCAACCTTAACTAGATACCTTCACTTAACACTGAGACTCTACCTTAACTAGATACCTTCACTTAACACTGAGACTCTACCTTAACTAGATACCTTCACTTAACACTGAGACTCTACCTTAACTAGATACCTTCACTTAACACTGAGACTCTACCTTAACTAGATACCTTCACTTAACACTGAGACTCTACCTTAACTAGATACCTTCACTTAACACTGAGACTCTACCTTAACTAGATACCTTCACTTAACACTGAGACTCTACCTTAACTAGATACCTTAACTAGATACCTTCAAACACTGAGACTCTACCTTAACTAGATACCTTCACTTAACACTGAGACTCTACCTTAACTAGATACCTTCACTTAACACTGAGACTCTACCTTAACTAGATACCTTCACTTAACACTGAGACTCTACCTTAACTAGATACCTTCACTTAACACTGAGACTCTACCTTAACTAGATACCTTCACTTAACACTGAGACTCTACCTTAACTAGATACCTTCACTTAACACTGAGACTCTACCTTAACTAGATACCTTCACTTAACACTGAGACTCTACCTTAACTAGATACCTTCACTTAACACTGAGACTCTACCTTAACTAGATACCTTCACTTAACACTGAGACTCTTTAACTAGATACCTTCACTTAACACTGAGACTCAACCTTAACTAGATACCTTCACTTAACACTGAGACTCAACCTTAACTAGATACCTTCACTTAACACTGAGACTCTACCTTAACTAGATACCTTCACTTCACACTGAGACTCAACCTTAACTAGATACCTTCACTTAACACTGAGACTCTACCTTAACTAGATACCTTCACTTAACACTGAGACTCTACCTTAACTAGATACCTTCACTTAACACTGAGACTCTACCTTAACTAGATACCTTCACTTAACACTGAGACTCTACCTTAACTAGATACCTTCACTTAACACTGAGACTCTACCTTAACTAGATACCTTCACTTAACACTGAGACTCTACCTTAACTAGATACCTTCACTTAACACTGAGACTCAACCTTAACTATATACCTTCACTTAACACTGAGACTCAACCTTAACTAGATACCTTCACTTAACACTGAGACTCTACCTTAACTAGATACCTTCACTTAACACTGAGACTCTACCTTAACTAGATACCTTCACTTAACGAGAATTCATATGGCCACGTCCCAACAACCCGAGAGAAGAAATGACGCCATGGCCCAAATCCCCGACAAGATTAACAAACTCATCTTTATTCCCACCATAGCCGATAACACCCCGTCGAGTGACCCTATAAACCACGGGATTGAACCTGTGTCTCGAGGATCTTGAATAATAAGTGGATCTAAAGTCGTCTGAAAATTATCTTGTATTGAGTCTGTCATATGGAATAAATTATGTTGTGTTTATCTTTGCTCGAAATATTTTCTTGTTCTAATTGGGTTTTGTTTTGTTGCAGGTGCGTATGGATTTACGAGTTGAATCACGCCTAGATTACCGAACGTGTTTGATCTCGTGCAACAATTTATTCAACTCATTCTACTGGCAACATGAAGTGCATACAGGTGCTCCTCTACTTAAGAACAGTCAACTTACCAGCAAAACTCCACCTTTACCACCCAAGAGGAAACAGTCAAATAGAACGGTACAATGGCATAATCCGGAAGACCATATGTTTAGCTGCCAAGTCTCGAGATGTTCCGGATACTGAATGGGAGGCTCTCCTACCCGAAGCTCCTCACTCCATTAGCTCATTGCTCTCAACAGCCATCAACGCGACTCCACACGAGAGGTTTTTCTAATTTTCCGAGACGATCTCGTCGGGGTACATCCCTGCCAACATGGCTAACGACTTCGGGTCCTGTCTTCTTACGCCGATTCTCCTGCTCGAGCATAGATGACCCTCTCGTTGATGAGGTGGAGCTCCCCGAGGCCAACCCAACGTATGCACACACCAAGTATCCAGATGGACGCTAATCTTCAGTTTCCCTTGCTCCACGACCCGGTGGAACCTCATCCTCGGACATCTCTGCCGGCTCAACCTCGCCTTCTGCAGAGGGAGACACAGGGACGACATTGCCGAATCCTATTACCGTGCAGGAGTTACCTCTTCCTGGTTGTACTCGGCAGCGAAGAGAACCCTCCGATGATTGGTTGTGATGGCCGGGGTGAATGTCGTATTATGGAATCAATTACTGTATACTTGTGTTTACCTATACTCTAAATGTCCTCTTGTTCTAATTGCAGATGTATATGGATTTATGAGTTGATTAAAGTTTTGATTTCTGAAGGTGTTTGATCTCATACCACTGAGTGTTTAATAATGTGCCGGTGTAAACATTTAATTATTGTTTTTAAAAGACTGCAGTGTGGGGCAACGTGGGGGTGAGGGCCTTCCAGAACTCCTTAAGGCAGGATAACGGAGGAAGGATTCAGCCGTCGACAAGTCCTGAACTTTGTAGAGACAGAACTGTTATGGGAGGTGGTTTTGGGGTCGACGGCAGCCAAGGACCAAAGCCAAGACAATCGGTGGTGATGGCTGGCTGGTCAAAGACGACCCTCAATATTGATTTAATAATACTAAGGAAGTCTTAAAGTGATGAATGAATTAAAATATGTCACCGTTTATTTAGTTTATTTTAAATTATCGTTTAATTATTTATTTCAAATTTTACTTGAAATTATGTGAAGACCATTTGAGCAGTAGTCTGGCCGGCAAAGATCCCCGCTAAACTGTTCACCTGAAGATTAACCCCCAAGTGTTCACCTGAAGATTAACCCCCAAGTGTTCACCTGAAGATTAACCACCAAGTGTTCACCTGAAGATTAACCCCCAAGTGTTCACCTGAAGATTAACCCCCAAGTGTTCACCTGAAGATTAACCCCCAAGTGTTCACCTGAAGATTAACCACCAAGTGTTCACCTGAAGATTAACCCCCAAGTGTTCACCTGAAGATTAACCTCCCCAAGTGTTCACCTGAAGATTAACCCCCGTTCACCTGAAGATTAACCCCAAGTGTTCACCTGAAGATTAACCCCTGCTTTCACCTGAAGATAACCACCAAGTGTTCACTGAAGATTAACCCCCAAGTGTTTCCGCCCTGAAGATAACCACCAAGTGTTCACCTGAAGATTAACCCCAAGCTTTCACCTGGAAGACAACCCCAAGTGTTCACCTGAAGATTAACTCCCAAGTACTCATCATGAAGATTAACCCGCGTTCACCTGAAGATTACAACCTCGCGTTCACCTGAAGATTAACCCCCAAGTGTTCACCTGAAGATTAACCCCCAAGTGTTCACCTGAAGATTAACCCCCAAGTCCTAACCTGAAGATTAACCCCCAAGTGCTCACCTGAAGATTAACCCCCAAGTCCTCACCTGAAGATTAACCCCCAAGTCCTAACCTGAAGATTAACCCCCAAGTGCTCACCTGAAGATTAACCCCCAAGTCCTAACCTGAAGATTAACCCCCAAGTGCTCACCTGAAGATTACCCCCCAAGCAAGCTCAATTTAGAGATTAACCACCAAGTGTTCACCTGAAGATTAAACTCCCCAAGTCCTCACCTGAAGATTAACCCCCCAAGTGTTCACCTGAAGATTAACCCCGCGTTCACCTGAAGATTAACCCCAAGTGTTCACCTGAAGATTAACCCCAAGTGTTCACCTGAAGATAACTACCAAGTGTTCAATTAGAAGACAACCCCAAGTGTTCACCTGAAGATTAACCCCCAAGTGTTCACCTGAAGATTAACCCCCAAGTGTTCACCTGAAGATTAACCCCCAAGTGTTCACCTGAAGATTAACTCCCAATTACTCACTTAACATATAATAAACAAAACAATATAACTAATATCTTCACATTTAATACATAACAAATTGAGTGACATTTTCAGACCCTTCGACTTTATCATTTCTCGTAAAAAGGAGAAAAATAAGGAATCTAATTATTTCTGCGTTCCTCACAGGGCCAGTCGAGCAAGTGCTAGTGTATCGATGAGTGACACCAGCCCTACCAGCACATACAAGGTGACTGGCAGTTCACCCATTGATGTTGCCGCCCACATCAAGCTGCTCGGAGAATCTCTCAACAACATCGGCCAGAAACTGAAGGAACACGAGGTATTTGTTTATTTATGTATACTCTTATCATAGGACGCAAGTGTACAGGGTGTCTTATAGTTCACATTTGTACAGGGTGTCTTATAGTTCACATTTGTACAGGGTGTCTCATAGTTCACATTTGTACAGGGTGTCTTATAGTTCACATTTGTATAGGGTGTCTCATAGTTCACATTTGTACAGGGTGTCTTATAGTTCACATTTGTATAGGGTGTCTCATAGTTCACATTTGTACAGGGTGTCTCATAGTTCACATTTGTACAGGGTGTCTCATAGTTCACATTTGTACAGGGTGTCTCATAGTTCACATTTGTACAGGGTGTCTCATAGTTCACATTTGTACAGGGTGTCTCATAGTTCACATTTGTACAGGGTGTCTCATAGTTCACATTTGTACAGGGTGTCTCATAGTTCACATTTGTACAGGGTGTCTCATAGTTCACATTTGTACAGGGTGTCTCTATGTCTACATTGAAAGGAGGGTGTCTTATAGTTCACATTGTACAGGGTAGTCTCATAGTTCACATTTGTACAGGGTGTCTTATAGTTCACATTTGTTAGGCAGTAGTTCACATTTGTATAGGGTGTCTCATAGTTCACATTTGTACAGGGTGTCTTTTATAGTTCACATTTGTACAGGGTGTCTCTATAGTTCACATTTGTACAGGGTGTCTCATAGTTCACATTTGTACAGGGTGTCTCATAGTTCACATTTGTACAGGGTGTCTCATAGTTCACATTTGTATAGGGTGTCTCATAGTTCACATTTGTATAGGGTGTCTCATAGTTCACATTTGTACAGGGTGTCTCATAGTTCACATTTGTATAGGGTGTCTCATAGTTCACATTTGTATAGGGTGTCTTATAGTTCACATTTGTACAGGGTGTCTTATAGTTCACATTTGTACAGGGTGTCTCATAGTTCACACACCTTTCACATTTTTTAACACCAGTTTTTTGCAGATGGTTCATTATTTCTGGAGGTTTTTTCAGCACTGGTGAGAAATAATAAAAGTAAGTTAGTGATTTTATTTACATTAAAGACGTTAAATATTTTTGGTAAGATGCGTGGACTGTATATGGAATTATTATTATTATTATTATTATTATTATTTTGTTATTATTATTATTATTTTATTATTATTATTATTATATTATTATTATTATTATTATTATTATTATTATTGTTTTTATGATGGATAAGAACCATCGCCTCAGCTCGTGACGTCACAGCTTGCTCGGACGTAAACAAACATCTGACAGACGGCTGCTGGTGAGGACTGTTACCACAACTACCACAACTACCACAATCGTACCTACCACCACTACCACCATCGTACCTACTACCACTACTAACATTATTACAACCAATAGCACCACCACAATTACTATTATTACCGTAACTATTTGCATTAGGCTTAGGGAGAGCTATTCTCATTACCTACCACCACTACTAGTACTACCACAATCGTACCTACCACCACTACCACAATCGTACCTACCACCACTACTAGCACTTCCACAATCGTACCTACCACCACTACTAGCACTACCACAATCATATATGCCACCAATACCAACACTACTTCAAATACTAGCACTACCACCACTACTAACATCACCACCACAACTACTAGCACGACCATAACTACTCACGTCATTATTTAATATATTTGTAATAAATTAAACAAACGTGATTTTTATTTGTTATGTTTTCTTATTTGTTTGTTTGTGTCGTGATGATGGTAATTTCCTTTTCAGGTCTCGATAAAATATATATTAACCCTCAGACATGGCTTAAACAACCGCAAAATTGTCACACTGTAGGAGTCGGGTGTGTTGTGTTGTGGACTATTCCTACAGGTGTGTGTGTTGGAGCGACGGTTACCTGACCTCGCTGTTTTAGACGTCGTTCGAGGTGTGTGTGTGTGTGTGTGTGTCGTCCAACTGCGCCTCAATGAATGGACCAAATCCGTACCCGACGTTGATTTTGACGCGTCCGTCCGAGTGAATATCTGAAGCATTTCACGGGTAATAATTGACCGAGAGTCGTTATTCGCTAAACTCTCTGCCGGCTCGACGTAAGATGAGCCAGCCCCAGCAGGACAGCAAAAGACGGGTGTTTTCGGAAGAGGAACGCCGTCTCCTGCGCGGCCTGGTCTCCACCCACGAAGGATTACTCAGGTCCCAGAATGCCGATGGGACGTCGAACAAGGAGCGCCGTCGGCAGTGGGAGAAGATCGCCGCCTCGTTCAATAGCTCCCAGGGCGTGACCCCTCGTTCGGCCCCTGAACTGAGGAAGGCTTGGGAGAATATGAACTACCGGGCCAAACACGCGATGGACAGGTGAGGTTAATTTATGTTACCTGTATGGCCTTTCCTGAAGAACAGTCACCCTAGCTTATTTTATATGATTAAATACCCTGATTCTACTCTACCCTATCCTATCCTACCTTACCCTATCCTATCCTATCCTAACCTAACCTATCCTAACCTAACCTAACCTAACCCCCAAGCTAACATTAGGCGTGTAATCATCAGGTAAAATAAGCTGGGGTGTCTAATAGTAATATGATAACTTTATTCTTATAATTTCTTAACTTTATAATGATTCTTTATATAATGTGATATATATTAATTGATAACTTATTCTGTCTGTTTATGTCTGTCTGTATGTTTTTTCGCTCTGTCTGTCTGTCTGTCTGTACTGTGTCATAAGTATATACCCTACTAATGTAACCCCCCCCCTGCCGCCCCTAGACAATACCGTACGCTTCGGGGCTCGTCAGGAGATGTTTCCCCGCCCGCTGCGACACACACAGACTCGGACGGTGACACCCCATTGGCCCTGCTTCCAAGCCAGTGTCTCGAGACGATTATCTTTCACGAGAATAACGATCACATCAGGACCGACCCAGGTGTGTGTGTTAATTACTTGGTATGAATCACCTGGAGATTTTAAGTTGTTTCTCCAGTTTATTTCACCTTTAGTGTAATTAACCTGATAAGTTAACCTAAATTAACCTAACCCCCATACAATCATTTTTTCTTGTAATTTTTGAAATGTGGATGATTTTTTATTGGCTTGGTTAAGTTACCATTTGTATTATCTCTCTCTCCTCCCCTCTCACCCCTCTCTCTGACCTGATACCAACACCCACAGACTCGCAGCTAATGGGAGTCTGTGTACCAACTGTCCCGCCCGACGCACACGGTCTGCACGCTGGGAATGATTTCTATAGCCACGACGCCCTGGAGAACGGAGGAAAATATATGTATCGTTGACGGGCATTGGCTGAGTCATATGTGTGTGGCTGAGTCGTGTGTGTGTGTGTGTGGCTGAGTCTTGTGTGTGTGGCTGAGTCATATGTGTGTGGCTGAGTCATGTGTGTGTGTGTGTGGCTGAGTCATATGTGTGTGGCTGAGTCATGTGTGTGTGTAATTTGTCCGTATGGTGTATTGTACGAATTGGCTTAGGTGAAGTGGTGTATTTTATTGCATGCGAGAGACTTCACTTAGATTACGCAGTTCAGTTCTGGCCACCGTATTACAGAATGGATATAAAATCCTTGGAAAGAATCCAGAGGAGAATGACAAGACTAATCCTGGGCATTAGGAACCTTGAGTACAGAGACAGGTTAAAGCTTCTTAATTTGCACTCCCTCGAGAGACGTAGAGTGAGAGGCGACCTGTTAGAGGTGTATAAATGGAAGTTGGCTAAACAAAGGTGACATAACAAAGGTACTCAAACTATCCAACCAGGAGCAAACTCATAACAATGGTTTTAAATTAGACAAATTTAGATTTAGGCGCGAGATAGGTAAACACTGGTTTGGAAATTCAGTAGTGGATGAATGGAACAAGTTACCAAACATCATCATTAACTCTCTTACGCTGGATAGCTTCAAACATGGGTTGGGTGGATATATGAGCGATAGGGGTTGGGCGTAAATGGGACTGCCCAGTATGGACCAATAGTCCCACTGCAGTTTCCTCCATTGTTATGTTCTTATTTTAATAATGTTTGTTGTTAAGATGATGATAATTTTTTTTGATAATAATGTTTGTTGTTTGGCAGATGAGACACAACCGTACAACAGCCATGGGGACACTCTAGAGCCCCTCACCATCTCCCCACATAACTTAACTACATCGCCGATTATATATTCTGAGGTGGAGAACGGCTACGTCCACAGGGACCGCGGACGCAAGAGAGACAAATGCGACCCCGTGTGCGGACACAGCCTCAGGTTGGCCAAGAAACAGAGAGAGCTGGTGGATCTACAGCTTGAGGTGTACAGCTTAAAGAAACTTATAGCGGTGAATAAGTTACAACAGATGCAGGAAGCTTACCAACTGGATCTGAAGCACAAAGAGGAGGAACACAGCTTGAAAATGTGTCTCTTGAAGCGACAGTTAGAGAAATAGGTGTTTTGGGGGCACGTACAGTAAGCTTACAAGATGAAGCGGGTAAAGAATCAGCTTGAGTATGTTAGTTCCCCAGCAGGAATTGAAGAAACAGATAATTATGGGTACATTACACAACCAGTAAGCTTACAAGATAGATCAGGAAGTGAATCAGCTTGAGTATGTTAGTTCCCCAGCAGGAATTGAAGAAACAGATAATTATGGGTACATTACACAACCAGTAAGCTTACAAGATAGATCAGGAAGTGAATCAGCTTGAGTATGTTAGTTCCCCAGCAGGAATTAGAGAAATATGCAATTATAGATAAGAATATTGTTAAAGGCAGCTAACAGTACAGTACAAATACATTACTTACAATACCCGACATATAGTACAACTTTACCTCGAAACTGTACAATCTTTTTTTGCGTTTACATCACGACCAAACGTAAGACACAACAGCAATTATACCGGTAAATATATATAATGTAACCCATATTTTGTTTATGGAATACACAAGTATTTTTGTTTATATCGTGGTGGGGGTATTTGTGACTGGGTTTCTTATGGGGTAATGGTGCTGTGTGTTGACGCTGATGGTTGACAGTACAAATAAAATACTTTGTAATGTAAGGTTTTTGTACACGTTGTTTTGACATTTACCTTCTATTTATATACTAAACCTGTATTCCTATAGTTAAGATGTCTTATATATATTAATCCTTTGGTGAGTTAAATCTTTCCACGTGAAGATTAGACAAGCCAATGTTATCTTAATCTACCCAATATCTGTCTAGTCTTTTCTCAGAGGCTTGGAGACTTTTGCCATGGTCAGGTAAGCTGTTTCACCCTAATATCCAGTGGTGTTGATTTATTCATTTATTGAATGACGTGTGTTTGTGTGTGTGTGAACTATTAGACACCCTGTACATGTGTGTGTGAACTATAAGACACCCTGTACATGTGTGTGTGAACTATAAGACACCCTGTATATGTGTGTGTGAACTATAAGACACCCTGTACATGTGTGTGTGAACTATAAGACACCCTGTACATGTGTGTGTGTGAACTATAAGACACCCTGTATATGTGTGTGTGAACTATAAGACACCCTGTACATGTGTGTGAACTATAAGACACCCTGTACATGTGTGTGTGAACTATAACACCCTGTACATGTGTGTGAACCACTGTACATGTGTGTGTGAACTATAAGACACCCTGTACATGTGTGTGTGAACTATAAGACACCCTGTACATGTGTGTGTGAACTATAAGACACCCTGTACATGTGTGTGTGAACTATAAGACACCCTGTACATGTGTGTGTGAACTATAAGACACCATGTACATGTGTGTGTGAACTATAAGACACCATGTACATGTGTGTGTGAACTATAAGACACCCTGTACATGTGTGTGTGAACTATAAGACACCCTGTACATGTGTGTGTGAACTATGAGACACCTTGTACATGTGTGTGTGAACTATGAGACACCCTGTACATGTGTGTGTGAACTATAAGACACCCTGTACATGTGTGTGTGAACTATAAGACACCCTGTACATGTGTGTGTGAACTATAAGACCCTGTACATGTGTGTGTGACTATAAGGACAGTACATGCTATAAGACTGTAGTCTGTAGAGGACACCTGTACCTGTGTGGGCAACCTATGTGTGGGCAACACCCTGTACCTCTGTGGGCAGCCTATGAGACACCCTGTACCTGTGTGGGCAGCCTATGAGACACCCTGTACATGTGTGGGCAGCCTATGAGACACCCTGTACCTGTGTGGGCAGCCTATGAGACACCCTGTACCTGTGTGGGCAGCTTATGAGACACCCTGTACCTGTGTGGGCAGCCTATGAGACACCCTGTTAATTATTTTAGTAAATATTAAGAACTTTGATGAATTTTTTAAGTACTGTTAAATAATTTCTAAGAATAAATATCATTGGTTTGGTTAATATATTTTAAATGTACTAAAATAAATTTATATAAATTGAGATTCTATTAGTTTTTATAAAGTAAATTAGTATAAATATCTTTCATTAAGGTAATATAGTTAAATAATTCTCAGATAACATGAAGATTAAGCACCCCAGATTATATAACACCCCAATACTACCCGGTGAAATAATCCGAGGCGTCTAATGTTTACCCGATATAATTCATGCGTCGATATTACACGCGTAGAGACGACAACATACTAACATTTCCCAACATTTCAGGGTCAGATCGCTGTTTCGGGGAGCCTGTCTGTCCTGCTCGACTCGATGTTGTGCGTCTTGGGCCCTCTGACCTGCCTCACAGCGCAGGTCGGCCAGATGCAGGGAGCCGTGCCTGAACCAACGCTCATGAAGATTCTTGATAACATAGCTTACATCATGCCTGGAATTGTGTAGATGTGGTGGAGGTAATTACTGTATGTGACAATGTTGTTGAAGAACGGATAAAACAATTATTAATATATATATGTAACTGTTGTTGAAGAACGGATAAAACAATTATTAATATATATATGTAACTGTTGTTGAAGAACGGATAAAACAATTATTAATATACAGTATATGTAACTGTTGTTGAAGAACGGATAAAACAATTATTAATATACAGTATATGTGACAATGTCACTGAAGAACGGATAAAACAATTATTAATATATATGTAACAATGTTGTTGAAGAACGGATAAAACAATTATTAATATATATATATGTAACTGTTGTTGAAGAACGGATAAAACAATTATTAATGTATATGTAACAATGTTGTTGAAGAACGGATAAAACAATTATTAATGTATATGTAACTGTTGTTGAAGAACGGATAAAACAATTATTAATGTATATGTAACTGTTGTTGAAGAACGGATAAAACAATTATTAATGTATATGTAACTGTTGTTGAAGAACGGATAAAACAATTATTAATGTATATGTAACTGTTGTTGAAGAACGGATAAAACAATTATTAATATACAGTATATGTAACAATGTCATTGAAGAACAGATTAAATAATTATTAATATACAGTATATGTAACAATGTCTTTGAAGAACAGATTAAATAATTATTAATATACAGTGGGTATGCTATAACGAAATCTTAATTGGTTCTAGAACTTGTTCGTTATAGTATCTGTGTTATAGGATTAATGTGGAAATACAACTAATTAACATGAAAATATATATAAAATTGTAAAAATTGTAAAAAGTGATAAATATGCATCTAAACTGAAAAAGAATATCATTAATATTTGTAATATAACAATAAATTAGAAAAAAATTAAATAATGTTCAAGTAGGAGTTTCGTTCGTTATAGCATTCTCAATTTTATAGGTAAACCGATTATAGGAATATTGTGAGTAGGATCAGTTAATATATACAGTATATGTAACAATGTCTTTGAAGAACAGATTAAATAATTATTAATATACAGTATATGTAACAATGTCTTTGAAGAACGGATTAAATAATTATTAATATACAGTATATGTAACAATGTCTTTGAAGAACAGATTAAATAATTATTAATATACAGTATATGTAACAATGTCTTTGAAGAACAGATTAAATAATTATTAATATACAGTATATGTAACAATGTCTTTGAAGAACAGATTAAATAATTATTAATATACAGTATATGTAACAATGTCTTTGAAGAATTTATATATATATATATATATATATATATATATATATATATATATATATATATATATATATATATATATATATATATATATATATATATATATATATATATATATATATATATATATATATATATATATATATATCCCAAAGTTTTCATAGATAAATAATGAACGAATGATCTATTACATGTATTTATTAAGCATTGACAAACTATTAGGTGTTTTTAATGAGTATTGACTGATAATTAAGTGTTTTAAACGAGTATTGACTGATAGTTAAGTGTTTTAAATGAGTATTGACTGACTATTACCTGTTTTTGACGAGTATTGACTGATAGTTAAGTGTTTTAAACGAGTATTGACTGACTATTACCTGTTTTCAACGAGTATTGACTGAAAATTAAGTGTTTTAAACGAGTATTGACTGACTATTACCTGTTTTTGACGAGTATTGACTGATAGTTAAGTGTTTTAAACGAGTATTGACTGACTATTACCTGTTTTTGACGAGTATTGACTAAAACACCATTGCTTATAACTAGTAATGAAAGAAAATTTGTTTTATTATTTAGTTTGGAATTTTTTGTGTAATTGAACTGATGATTTCTGAATAAATTTTTTTATTAATTGATGTGTTTTAATTTTACGTTCATGGGTAAATAAGTGGATAGGTAAGGAAAGTAGATACTGTACTTAAATACTAATTAGGTAGATACTGTACTTACACACTAATTAGGTAGATACTGTACTTACACACTAATTAGGTGGATATATTGATACTTAGATCAATAGACATGCAATATAAATAATGGTGTGGAAAAAAAATAAATGGCTAATATCAATACAAATTCAACGATAATTAGTTCATTATGATAATTAAATAATATTGATATAATTAAGTTATTTAATTTATAACCTACATGCTTTAGGCTCGTTGTGCTTATTACGTGTATTAATTTAAAATACAAATAAAATCAAATAATTTACCATTATTTTAGAAGTAATATAAAAGGTATATTTTATTTTATTTATTGATATAGTTAGGAAGACAATAAAATATATAACTACCATTGTTATTAATAATATTCTTAGGCTCGGAGTGTCTGAGTCGTGACGTCATAGATTGTTATTGTCAGGAGGAGAGTGAAACAAGTCGGTATTTTCTTAACTTAATTACTTACTTAATTACCACTTAAATCACCTATAAATAACTGTAATGAGTGGATGAAGCTGATAATAACGAGAGGAGGAAGCTTAAAGGTTCATTAGGAAGATATTTAACAAGTTCTGAAGTAAGTTAAACAAGTGAGTATTATCTGAACTTTATTTGTTTTTTTGTTTATTTATCTTTCTTAATTACGTTTATTATTTGATTTGTTGTTTATTTAGTTGTTTAAAGACTTTATTTACATATTTTATTTTATTTAACCTAATTAAATCCGCCAGATAGCATTAGGTTAGGTTAGGTTAGCATTAGGTTAGGTTAGCATTAGGTTAGGTTAGCATTAGGTTAGGTTAGGTTAGCATTAGGTTAGGTTAGGTTAGGTTAAATTTAGGTTAGGTTAGGTTAGCATTAGGTTAGGTTAGGTTAGCATTAGGTTAGGTCCTCGACCAATAGGGTTTGACGATTGTACTAACCGACCAATAGCATTTATGATTATAATGACTTACTAATAGGTTTACGATTATATTGCGCCAATGAGAAGTTTACGATTTAATAATGACTCGACCAATAGGATTTACGATTATAATGACTCGACCAATAGCATTTATGATTATAATGATTCACCAATAGCATTTATGATTATAATACTTCATAATAGCATTTATGATTATAATGACTAATAATAGCATTTATGATTATAATGACTTGACTAATAGGATTTACAATTATAGTGACTTGACTAATAGGATTTACGATTATTATGACCAATAGGATTTACGTTATATTGCCTCGAAATAGGATTAATTTCAATCATCGTTAATCGTCCTCTCACCAGTACCATCAGTCCTGCTGAAAGAGTCACAACGGCGGAAAAATCTGGCTCGAACTTGGATGAATCAACTATATCAGATGCAGTGTGTAGTAGCAACCTTCCCGTACTTCTATCGTTACAGTCACAGGTGAAGGGTCGTTCGAGGAGTAACTACCCCCTGTTGATTTCACCTGAGAGATTAAACACCTTAATCCTAACTAACTAATGGTTTAATCACCCGATGAAATAAGCTAAGGTGTTTATTCTTCAGGTGATCCTCAGGGTAACAACCAAATTGGGTTATTGAAGCAATTTCTTTCAGCATCAATCACTATAAATCACATCAATGATATTTGTTATTGTCGTTATTGTTGTTATTGTTGTATTATTCTCGTCGACGATCTTTCAGGCTGTAGTGCAAGGTGGGGTCAGCTCCTGACTGCCTCACCACAACTACCCCCCCACCTACAAGACCAAGCACAACCACAACCTACCCCAGTGCCTGCAACCACACAACCACAGCGGAGAGGTACAGTAGTTATATACAGTACAGTAAAACCTTGATATAATGGACTTTTCTCTAAATATAGTTCATTAAATAGAGGTTTTACATCTAACGGACCCTTGATATAATGGACTTCATCTCAATATAGTTCATTAAATAGAGGTTTTATCCTAACGGACCCTTGATATAAACTCTATATTATAGTTCATTAAATGAGGTTTACATCTAACGGACCCTTGATATAATGGACTTCTCAAATATAGTTCATTAAATAAGGTTTTACATCTAACGGATATATAATGGACTTCATCTCAATATAGTTCATTAAATAGGGTTTTTACATCTGATATAATGGACTTTTCTCTAAATATAGTTCATTAAATAGAGGTTTTACATCTAACGGACCCTTGATATAATGAACTTTCTCTAAATATAGTTCATTAAATCGAGGTTTTATATCTAACGGACCCTTGATATAATGGACTTCATCTCAATATAGTTCATTATTATCAACGGACCCTTATATAATGGACTTTCTCTAAATATAGTTCATTAAATATAGGTTTTACATCTAACGGACCCTTGATATAATGGACTTTTTCTCTAAATATAGTTCATTAAATAGAGGTTTACATCTAACGGACCCTTGTTATAATGGACTTCATCTCAATATAGTTCATTAAATAGAGGTTTTTATGGACCCTTGATATAATGGACTTTTCTCTAAATATAGTTCATTAAATATAGGTTTTACTCTAACGGACCCTTGATATAATGGACTTTTTCTCTAAATATAGTTCATTAAATAGAGTTTACATCTAACGGACCCCTGATATAATGGACTTCATCTCAATATAGTTCATTAAATAGAGGTTTACATCTAACGGACCCTTGATATAATGGACTTTTCTCTAAATATAGTTCATTAAATATAGAGTTTACATCTAACGGACCCTTGATATAATGGACTTTCTCTAAATATAGTTCATTAAATAGAGGTTTACATCTAACGGACCCTTGATATAATGGACTTCATCTCAATATAGTTCATTAAATAGAGGTTTACATCTAACGGACCCTTGATATAATGGACTTTTTCTCTAGTTCATTAAATAGAGGTTTTACATCTAACGGACCCTTGATATAATGGACTTTTCTCTAAATATAGTTCATTAAATAGAGGTTTTACATCTAACGGACCCTTGATATAATGGACTTCATCTCAATATAGTTCGTTGTATAGAAAGATTAACAGACATAAACAGACGCCCAGAGACAGCTAAACAGATACCCAGAGACAGCTAAACAGATACCCAGAGACAGCTAAAGAGATACCCAGAGCAGCTAAAGAGATACCCAGAGCAGCTAAAGAGATACCCAGAGACAGCTAAAGAGATACCCAGAGACAGCTAAACAGATACCCAGAGACAGCTAAACAGATACCCAGAGACAGCTAAAGAGATACCCAGAGACAGCTAAAGAGATACCCAGAGACAGCTAAAGAGATACCAACTAGATAGAGAGGTAATACCACTTGTACTTTGCAGGAGTGAGCACATACCAACAGTGTGAAGAGTCGAGGCTGAGGCCATCGACTTCATCATCTTGTTCGCGTATAAAACTGGCTGTGTCGTTTGGTGTTGTTCATTCCTTTGATCTGCTGTGGGTACTGGTTTACTTTGTCTTGATAACTACTATTACTATTACTATTACTATTACTACTACTACTACTACTATTTTTTTTTAAACGTTGCCTCCAGCCTCCCCCAATAGCCACACCTTCGCCACCATTTATTTACTACTATTACTACTACTACTACTACTATTTTTTTTTAAACGTTGCCTCCAGCCTCCCCCAATAGCCACACCTTCGCCACCATTTTATTACCTTAATATTAAATACCCTAATACATAAGTAGCTATCCTATCTGTGTTGAGTTAGTTGAGCCGCAGATCTATGCAACATTCAGTGACTGTTGCCTCATAGTCACTGTCTGCAGCTGTTGTCGGCTTTGGGGCAGATGATCTTGTAATAATAGTATTTATTCATTAAAATCATCATGAACTTTTAAAATTGGTTAGGTTAGGTTAGGTTAAGCTAGGTTAGGTTAGATTAGGTTAGGTTAAGCTAGGTTTAATTAGGTTTAATTAAGTTAAGTAAGGTTAGGTTAGGATAGAATTTAAAACCATCATTCTATCACCCACAGCGCCGTGGAAAAGTACGATTTCGAGAATTTAGGAACAGATATCATGAACGACTACAAGATGGCCCTCGAGATGATGTCGGAAATACTGGTGCTGGAACTTATTCATCGCATCGGGACGTGTGTCTTCGAGGTACAGTGGGTCGTATAGGGTGTGGTCAAGGCAGAGGTCACCAACGAGGTCATTTGTTGTTTTGACCTTTTATTGATCACCTGATGATTAGCCGGCCTCTATTTTACCTCTCCCAAGATGGTTTGGGGTTTAATCTTTCAAGTGAGCACTTGGGGGAGCTAATCTTTCAGGTGAGCACTTGGGGAGCTAATCTCAGGTGAGCACCTGGGAGCTAATCATGAGCACTTGGGGGAGCCTAATCTTCAGGTGAGCACTTGGGAGCTAATCTTCAGGTGAGCACTTGGGGGTTTAATCTTTAGGTGAGCACTTGGGGGAGCTAATCTTCAGGTGAGCATTTGGGGGAGCTAATCTACAGGTGAGCACTTGGGGGAGCTAATCTTCAGGTGAGCACTTGGGGGAGCTAATCTACAGGTGAGCACTTGGGGGTTAATTTCCATTGAGATATAAATATTTAACTAATTAATTACACTATAGATAATCATAGATGTTAATAATTTATACAGTATAATTATTAACCCTATATAATCGTTTGTTATCCCTAAAGGCACTGTGTTTACATCGCGGTACTGGGGGCCCTGGAGGAGCAACCCCAGGGAAGAGGGCAGTGGGGCTACGGGTGGTGCGCTGTGAGTGGGTGGCCCCGACGGGAGGTGACCACGCCCTTATTTTCCCCGCTACCGACTTGGGGTGAGAATTATGTTCGCATTTGGTTGATTTTACTTGGGGGGTTAGGTTAGGTTAAGACTTGAGTTGTTGTAGTTCTCTAATAATAACACCCCCACACCACCACCAACACCACCAACACCCCCACAACACCACCCCCACCACAACAACACCCCCACAACACCGATGTCTTAATAAACACCAACTTCCATCTCCTGACAGGTTCGGCCGAGCGATCATCCGGGCCGTGGTCAAGAACTTCTCCCTCACGTTCCTCTTCCCTATCTGCTTCACTGTGTTTTCCTTCCAACACAACCGCACCGTTTATGACATTGTCGCCGGCTCAGTCGTGGTGGAGGAGTGTACGGCGACCAGACGTAGAAACAATAATAACAACAACTGAATGGGAGATGTGGGTTAATATGTGTTTGTTTGTCATTGGTGTAATTATTATGGGTGTTTTTGTTACCATGAACCTAACCTAACCTATCCTACCCTACCCTACCCTACCCTACCCTACCCTAACCTAACCTACCCTCTCCTACCCTACCCTACCCTACCCTAACCTACCCTATCCTACCCTACACTAACCTACCCTACCCTAACAGAATTACAAACATAAAATTAGATTAGGTTCGTTTGGGTTAGGTTAGGTTCATGTTGTGTATCATTAAATAACTTTCGTCATCGGTAAAAGTCAGCCATAGGAGAGGCGGCCATCGTCAGCGGAGAATATCTTGAGTAAATTTTTATACCTGTCCGTGATAGTCTGTTTCAATATGTGATTTTAATACTTTTAATTCATTTTATATCAATTTTTTGTAATCGTATTGGAGTCTAGGAATATTTGAGTTGTTTTAAGTGCTATTTTTCGTTAATTGGATAAAGCCGTGTGGAAGACCTGCCATGTTGGGTTAGGTTGGTACTGGGTAATGCTGTTCCCATATCCAACCTGTTGTGGAAATCGAACTTGGGACACTGTAATGAGAGGCACACACACACACACACACACACACACACACACACACACACACACACACACACACACACACACACACACACACACTAGGAAGATTGTATAAATATGTATAGCTTCTCCAATCTTCTATCCAATACATCAAGTGCAGAAAATGCTAGATAGAAACTTAGAACTGAATAATATAAGCCATTAAACCTTTACCATCATATATAACACAAATATATTTCCCTCTCATTAAATTATATAAAAAAAAATATATTTCAACACCAAACACCACCATATTGGACACTTGACATGATAAGAATTAAGAGGAATTGTCTTTCGATTATAAATATTTACAATGTGTGTTTGGTTCCCCGATGGCAGACCCCAGGGCCTTTTATTGCTATGGGGCCTTGAAATGGGGTGATGATTCGATGTGAGGGGGGGGGGGGAGGGTGTTAATGGTGATTTAACTGTAATTAGTTGTTTTTTTATTTATATGTGGTTTATTATTTGTTTATTTTCTTGCTACTTGTTATGCTCATTGGCACTAGGCATGTACTGGCTCTGTTACACACTGTTGGCAAATACTGGGCATGTATGGGTCTCTGTTACACACTGTTGGCAAGTACTAGGCATGTGACTGGCTCTTGTTACACACTGTTGTTGATGCTGGGCATGTGCTGGCTCTGTTACACTGTTTGTAGTACTAGAGCATGTACTGGCTCTGTACACATTGGCAATGCTGAACCATGCTGTCTGTTACTGTTGGCAGAGTATAGGCATGTGCTGGCTCTGTGTACACACTGTTGGCAAGTACTGGGCATGTACTGGCTCTATTTTACTGTTGGCAGAGTATAAGGCATGTGCTGGGTCTCTGTTTACACACTGTTGCGTGCTGTGCATGCTGGGTCTCTGTTACACACTTATTTGGCAAGTACACAGGCATGTATAGCTCTGTGTACACACTGTTGGCAGAGTACTGTAAACTCCTTACACACTGTTAGCCGTGCCAGGCATGTGCTGGCTCTGTTACACACTGTTGTGAAGTACTGGGCATGTGCTGGGTCTCTATTACACTTGCTGTTGGCAAGTACTAGGCATGTACTGGCTCTGTTACACACTGTTGCTTAAATACTGGGCATGTGCTGGCTCTGTTACACACTGTTGTGAAAATGCATGTACACAGTCTCTGTGTGTTACACTATTTGGCAGTACTGGGCATGTACTGGCTCTGTTACACATGTTGTAAATGCACAGGGCATGTACTGGGTCTCTGCACTGTTGCTGAAGTACTGGGCATATGCACAGCTCTCTGTACACACTGTTGGCAAATACAGGGCATATGCTGGCTCTGTTACACTGCTGGCAAATGTCTGCAGGCATGTACTGGGTCTCTGTGTTGGCAAATACTGGGCATGTGCTGGGTCTCTGTTACACTGTTGGCAAATGCTGGGCATGTACAGCTCTGTACACACTGTTGGCAAGTACTGGGCTGTACTGGCTCTCTGTACACACTGTTGGCAGAAGTACAGGCATGTGCTGGCTCTCTGTTACACACTGTTGTAGTACTGGGCATGTACTGGGTCTCTATTACCTGGTGGCAAGTACTGGGGCTCTGTGGCTCTGTGTTACACTGTTTAGCAAGTACTGGGCATGTACTGGCTCTGTTACACTGTTGGCAGTGCTGGGTATGCTGGGTCTCTGTTACACTGTTGGCAAGTGCTGGGCATGTGCTGGCTCTCTATTACACTGTTGTAGAAGTACTGGGTATGTGGTCTCTGTTATACACTGTTGGCCATTTGGGCATATGCTGGCTCTCTGTTAGACACTGTTGGCAAGTACTGGGTATATGCTGAGTCTCTGTTGCACTGTTGGCAAGTACTGGGTATGTGCACAGGTCTCTGTTACACACTGTTGTGGCAAGTACTGGGCATGTGCAGCTCTCTGTTACACACTGTTGTAGAAGTGGGCATGCTGGTCTCTGTTACACACTGTTGTAGTGCTGGGCATGTGCCGTCTCTGTTGCTCTGTTGGCAGAGTACTAGGGCATATACCATCTCTGTTACACTGTTGGCAAATTACTGGGCATGTGCTGGGTCTCTGTTACACTGTTGGCAAGTACTGAGCATGTATACCGTCTCTGTGCAAGCTGTTGTAAGTACTGGGCAAGTACAGCTCTGTTACCCACACTGTTGGCAAGTGCTGGGCATGCTTTGCTCTGTACACACTGTTGGTGATACTGGGCATCTTTTCAGTCTCTATTACACTCTTGGCAGAGTGCCAGAGCATGCTGGCTCTGTACACACTGTTAGCAGAGTGTAGGCACATGCTGTCCTGTACACACTGTTGTAGTACTGGGCATGTGCTAGCTCTCTGTTACCTGCTATTTGCTTGGAAATTACTGGGCATGTCTGGCTCTGTACCTGTTGGCAGTACTGGGCATGTGCTGCTCTGTTGCACACTGTTATGATGCTGAGCATGCTGGCTCTGTTACACACTGTTGGCGTGTGTGCTGGCTCTGTTGCCTGTTGCTTAGTACAGGCATGTGGGTCTCTATTTACACTGGCAGAAATTGCTGGGCATATGCTGGAGTCTCTGTGTACACACTGTTGGCTCTTGCTTCCGTCTCTGTGTTACACTGTTGTAGTACAGGCATGTCTCTGTTACACTGTTGGCAAATCACTGGGCATGTACCCGTCTCTGTTGCTCTTATTTGTCAGAAGTACTGAGCTTCTTGTCATTACACTGTTAGCAAGTACTGAGGCATGTACTGGCTCTCATTTTGGCAATGCTGGGCATGTACCGTCTCTGTTACGCTCTGTTGTGAAATGCTGGGCATGTACCGTCTCTATTTTATTGGCAAGTACTAGGCATGTACTGGCTCTATTACACACTGTTAGCAAGTGCAGGCATGTAGCTCTGTACACTGTTGCATTTAGGCTTATAGCCATAAGCCACACCTTGTGAAGTACTGGGCTGTACTGGGTCTCTATTACCTCTTGGCAAGTACTGGGCATGTATGGCTCTGTTACGCTCTGTTGGCAAATGCACAGGCATATACTGGCTCTGTTACACACTGTTGTAGAGTACTGGGCATGTGCACAGTCTCTGTACTGTTGGCAAATTACTGGGCATGTACCGTCTCTATTTACACACTGTTATGTGAAGTACTGGGCATGTACTGGCTCCTGTACACACTGTGTGTGGGCATGTCTGGCTCTACACACTATTGCGTGTGGGCTGTGGCTCTGTACACACTGTTGGCAAGTACTGGGCCATGTGTTTGTACACTGTTGCTTGAAGTACTGGGCATGCTACTGACTCTCTATTACACACACATTGGCAGAAGACTGGGCGTATGTTTAGGCTCTGTTACGCTCTGTTGGCAGAGTACTGGGCATGTACTGGCTCTGCACTGTTGGCAAGTACTGGGCATGTACTGGGTCTCCTGTTACACACTGTTGGCAGAAATGCAAACTGTACTGGGTCTCTGTTACCTGTTGGCATTTTGCTGGGCATGTGCTGGAGTCTCTGTTACACACTGTTAGTAAGTACTGGGCTTATGTTAGGCTCTGTTACACACTGTTGGCAAGTACAAACGCACGTCTCTGTACACCACTGTTGTGAAGTGCTGGGCATATGCTGGCTCTGTATTACCTGTTGTAGAGTGCTGGGCATGTACTGGGTCTCTGTACATTTACACACTGTTGGCAAGTGCTAGGCAAGTACACAGCTCTCTGTTACACACTGTTGGCAGAGTACTGGGCATGTACTGGGTCTCTGTTACACACTGTTGGTAAAGTGCTGGGCTTGTATAGTTTCTGTTGTTGCACACTGTTGGCAAGTACTGAGCATAAATGAGCTCTGTTACACACTGTTGGCAAATTACTGGGCATGTGCTGGGTCTCTGTTGCACTGTTGGCAAGTACTGAGCCAGAGTACTGGCTCTCTGTTACACTGTTGGCCGTGCTGGGCATGTGCTGGCTCTGTTACACACTGTTGGCAAGTGCTGGGCTTGTACTGGTCTCTGTTACACACTGTTGGCAAATGCTGGGCATGTACTGGTCTCTGTTACACACTGTTGGCAAGTGCTGGACAGTGTCTCTGTTACCTGCCTGTTGGCAAGTGCTGGGCATGTGTCTGTTACCCACACACTGTTGGCAAGTACTGGAAGCATGCTGGGTCTCTGTTACACACTGTTGGCAGTACTGGGCATGTGTGCTGGCTCTGTTACCACACTGTTGGCAAGTGCTGGGCATCATACTTTGGCTCTGTTACACACTGTTGGCAAGTGCTAGGCATGTACTGGCTCTGTTACTGCTGTTGGCAGAAATGCTGGGCATATGCTGGGTCTCTGTTACACTGTTGGCAAGTGCTGGAGCATAATGGCTCTGTTACTGTTGTGGCAGAGTACTGAATAGCCTGCATCTCTGTACGCTCTGTTGTAGAAGTACTGGGCTATGCTGGCTCTGTTACACTGTTATTGCTTAGAGTACTGGGCATGTACTGGGTCTCTATTACACCTGTTGGCAAATGCTGGAAGCATGCTGGTCTCTGTCACACTGTTGGCAAATGCTGGGCATGCGTCTCTGTGTAGCAAGTACTGAGGCATGTGCTGGGTCTCTGTACACTGTTGTGAAGTGCTGGGCAGAATGCTGGCTCTGTTACACTGTTGGCAGAAGTGCTGGGCATGTGGCTCTATTACACCTGTTGGCAGAGTACAGAGCATACTGGCTCTCATTACACACACTGGTGGCAAATTACTGGGCATGTGGCTCTGTTACACTGTTGGCAAGTACTGGGCATGTGCTGGCTCTCCTTACACACTGTTGGCAAGTACTGGGCATGCTGTCTGTTACACTGTTAGCAAGTGCTGGGCAAGTACTGGGTCTCTGTTACACACTGTTGGCAAGTACTAGGCATGTACTGGGTCTCTGTTACACACTGTTGGCAAGTACTGGGCTTGTACTGGCTCTGTTACACACTGTTGGCAAGTACTGGGCTTGTACTGGCTCTCTGTTACACACTGTTGGCAAGTACTGGGCTTGTACTAGCTCTGTTACACACTGTTGGCAAGTACTGGGCTTGTACTGGCTCTGTTACACACTGTACTGGCTCCTGAATGTACCTGAACCTGCTCCAGTGTTGGTCAAAGATAGCTTTTTAGTTGATGCTGTCACAACATTCTCTTGCAGGTTATTACAACAATTAACAACTCTTATTGGCCACAGGTTATTACAACTTTTAATCCAGCCATTAGTTCCATACTCATTACAGATTCACTGATAAATGCTTTTAATTTTTGGGTGTTATGTGAGTCACTTGGGCCCTGTCTCACTGGGCCCTGTCTCACTGGGCCCTCACCTGGGGTCTAATTTAACCTAACCTAAACCCATCACAGTACAGATAAATTGGGGTGACGTGAAGATTAGACATCCCAGATAATTTTACCTGGATTAAATACCCAAATCAAACCTTCCACAGATACCATAAGTGTGGTTAATCTTCACGTTATATAATCTGGGGTGCCTAATCCTCACGTCACCCCCCCCAACCTAAAATGTGTGTGCCAAAGAAACTATTTTATGGTGAAAGAAAATGATATTGTGTGTTGATATGGTGACTACAGTACAGTGATAGAGATATGGTGAATAGTGGATAGTGTTAGACACGTGTATTCAGTATTATTTCTGTTGTGGTGAATAAACGATATGGGAATTGAATTTATTTGTTTATTTAGTTTGATTTTACCTAATTAGACACCCTAGTTTAATTCACCTGAACATTAGACACCCCAGATTAATTCACCTGAACATTAGACACCCCAGATTAATTCACCTGAACATTAGACACCCCAGATTAATTCACCTGAACATTAGACACCCCAGATTAATTCACCTGAACATTAGACACCCTAGATTAATTCACCTGAACATTAGACACCCCAGATTAATTCACCTGAACATTAGACACCCCAGATTAATTCACCTGAACATTAGACACCCCAGATTAATTCACCTGAACATTAGACACCCCAGATTAATTCACCTGAACATTAGACACCCTAGATTAATTCACCTGAACATTAGACACCCTAGATTAATTAACCTGAACATTAGACACCCCAGATTAATTCACCTGAACATTAGACACCCCAGATTAATTAACCTGAACATTAGACACCCCTAGATTAATATTAACCTGAACATTAGACACCCCAGATTAATCACCTGAACATTAGACACTCCCCAGATTAATTAACCTGAACATTAGACACCCCAGATTAATTCACCTGAACATTAGACACCCCAGATTAATTCACCTGAACATTAGACACCCTAGATTAATTAACCTGAAGATTAGACACCCAGATTAATTACCTTGAACATTAGACAATTCTGATTAATTCACCTGAATATTAGACACCCAGATTAATTCATATCTAAATATTAGACAATTCTGTGATTAATTCACCTGAACATTAGACACCCCAGATTAATTCACTCCAAACATTAGACACCCAGAGATTAATTCACCTGAACATTAGATAATTCTAGACACTAACCTGAACATTAGACACTCTAGTTTAATTCACCTGAATATTAGGACACCCCAGATTAATTAACCTGAACATTAGGACACCCCAGTTTAATTCACCTGAACATTAGACATTCCCCAGATTAATTAACCTGAACATTAGACACCCCAGGATATCTACCTGAACATTAGACACCCAGATTAATTCACCTGAACATTAGACACCCCAGATTAATTCACCTGAACATTAGACACCCCAGATTAATTAACCTGAACATTAGACACCCCAGATTAATTCACCTGAACATTAGACACCCCAGATTAATTCACCTGAACATTAGACACCCCAGATTAATTAACCTGAACATTAGACACCCCAGATTAATTCACCTGAACATTAGACACCCCAGATTAATTAACCTGAGTTAAATATATTACAAATTACTTAAGGACTCGTTGACACAAGTAAAGTAATTAAGTGACATATTGAAAGACATAGTAGTTTAAGTATTAATAGTTATTTAAGAACTATTTGACATAATATTAAGTAGAAAAATAAATCAGTAAATATTGAAATGCATGAAGCACTTAAGGACCATTGAGATAAATTAAAGGGACTTATGACACTCTTATACGTATCATCCCTTCCTGCCTCAGTACGATAACTCCTAATATCTATCGTGTTTTATCTTATAACTCCTTTATTTGCTGTTATTATAATTCAAAGTAAGTATTTATAGATGTAAAAAATTATATTATTTCGATATATCAGTAATTTTTAGGTATTAGATAACCTGTATATCATAATTTCGATATTATTGTGAAATTATGGTTTAAAGGTTTTTTAGAGATAATAATGGTATATTAATACTATAATATGGATACAATTTATATTTTTATAGTAATTAAGATTAAAAATATATATAAATACCTAATAAAGCTTAAATTATATAAAAAAAAGGTTAATTCCAGCTTAACGATAGTAAAGTGAACCAAGTAAGAGAGTGAAGGAGATCATCAACAACAGTCACCTAAAGTTGTCTCTTAATTCAACCTCTACTTCCTCTGTCTTCCCTTATTATACCTCAAAAGTAAGTTATTCCTCTTTAAAGTACTTAATTCAGCCTTTGTGGTCATGGAAGTAGAGTATAAGTGTCCTAAGTAGTGTATATAAGCGTCAGTTGCTAGATCAAGTGTATGTCTAAGGTATATTTCCAAGAGTATTTTATTTTTACTATTTTTAGACTTTAATATTGGTAAGTTAGTTATAAGTTACTTAAATATGGTGTATAAGTGGGTCAGGGAGGGTATATAAGTGTACAGCCACTTATACTTTACGTGTGTAAGTATTTTTATCTCAAGTAAAATTTGTGTTTTTTTTGATAAATTATTAAATATTTTGGTTAATTATTATTATTATTATTATGGTAAATTTGTATCGTTACACCGTTCACTTTTAGCAAGTTAAAGATATATTTTTCTAGTGTATTTGTGTTGAGACCAAATATGTGACTAAGAGACTAAAAAATACAAAAAAAACCACTAGAAAAACCTAACCTAACCTAACCTAACCAAAAAAACCACTAGAAAAACAAAAACCTAACCTAACCTAACTGACTCTCACCATAAGATGTAATCACCTATTTCTTACCCTAATGGCCTGGTTCTTGTTCGTCGTTGGATTCTTACCGGTCACGTATGTTGGTCTTTACGGTCTTTACATTGTCGTGGTCTTAGTACTCTTACCTGAGGCTGGAGGAACACCGAGCGGTCGATAAAATGCTATAGTTTCTTCGTCTTTTCCCCTCAACTCTCCATCAGCTCCACACACTCCACGAGCGGTCGATAAAATGCTATAGTTTCTTCGTCTTTTCCCCCCAACTCTCCATCAGCTCCATATACTTTAAGTGACATCCACCGCAGACTTCCATGGTCGGAACTGAACTTGAATTTCAATATATGAGACCCAAAATAAAACTCGATTTTGATTGGGCCAAATATAGTCTGAATTAGCAAAAACGCTTTTGATTGGCCGTGTGACGTGTACGGGTACGCATGAGCGTCATGATTTATGAAGGAGACGCGAGAGACAGCAGTGTTGGGTGAGAGGCAGACGATAATGGCGGGAAATAATGGAAGAAAATAGAATTTTGGGGAAGAGCTGTCTCCGTTATTATACATTACCACCGGTAATGGTAATAGATGAAAATGATTTATAATTAGACGTCTTATTAGAATATGATAATAGATTAGTGGTCGGAATGAACGGTGTGTAAACGCAATAATACCATTATTATTATTATTATTATTATTATTATTATTAGTATTATTGGTGTGTAGTATTAATCTCAAATCATCATTACAGAGCGTTGAAATCATGTCTAATTCGGCCTGGACTGGTGCCAGACTTCACATCAACGAGTCAGACTTGTTGTGTCGGACGGGATGCGGTTACTATGGCAACCCCGCTTGGGACGGCCACTGCTCCAAGTGTTATAAGGAAATGATTCAGAAAACACAACAACGGAAGACTGTGTTTGACCCTACACAGAAGATACGCAAGTGAGTGATTAACCTTACTGAACGCTAACCTGACAATCTAATCTAATCTAACCTTATGCTACCCTAACCCTAACTGAACCTAACCTTAACCTAACCTAACTTAACCTAAACTTATGCTCACCTAACCTAACCTAACCCAACCCTCGAGATAAATTAATTAATGTCAAGGAAACACAAATCTGATCCTAGACTCCAAATAAAAACATCACACTAACACCGCAGTCAGTGTTTCTGTTTACATTATGATACGTTACCTTAGAGATGTCTGTGTGTGTCTGTATGTGGTGTAATGGTCAGCATGCTCGCCTCACAACCATGTGGTCCAAGGTTCGATCCCCGGACAGAGTGAAGCTATGGGCAAGTTTCTTAATGCCATTTGCCTCTGTCTACCCAGCAGTAATTGGGGACCTGGATGTTAATAGATTTGTGGACGGTGTTCCGGGGTAATGGTTAGCCAGTGCAGTTGGTGAGTTGTCCGGTCTTCTGGGGCTATTCCTTGACACTGGGTCATGCAGCTCTTTAACTCAGGGTGTGGTTGTTGTGTTGGCGACAGCTTCTACACCTTAAACACTGGGTCATGCAACTCGTTAACTCAGGTTGTGGTTGTTGTGTTGGCGACAGCTTCTACACCTTAAACACTGGGTCATGCAGCTCTTTAACTCAGGTTGTGGTTGTTGTGTTGGCGACAGCTTCTACACCTAAAGCAAACTCACCTCTAGGTGGTCCTCGGGCTGGCCATCCTCACTACACAAGGGGTAACCATTATTATACCACTATGGCTGAAGTAACTGCTATATCAAGTTAGATTACAGTACACACAAAACCTAACCTAACCTGACTACTGACTCAGGGAAGAATAAAGGGAGTATTACATATTGTACAAGTTATCAACCATTGTTTAGGATATCAACTGTTACTGTGTTATCCAGTGTTATCTTTTATCAGTCTATTGTTACAAGAGATAAATTTCATTATGACATTATGATTTTTTTCTTGTTGTAATCTGTGTTAAATATAACATCTGTTTAGTGTAATCAACCCCCCTGTACTTGGGTCTTTTGCCCCAGTGTTTCAGAGTTTGGGCTTGTTGGTGTTTCCTGAGCTGTACAGTGATTGTTTATAAACCGAGGAACTTTAATTATAAACTAGCATAGTGATTTAGTGGTTTTATGTGTAGTTAAGGACTTTAGGGTCGTTTGTATTATTGCGATGGTGATTGGGGAGATGAGTTGACTGCCGAACGAGTTGTTATTGTCGTCGGTGATTTTTGTTCGTCATGGAACCAACTGACGATTTTTATATGGATGTTGACGTCGTACAATACCGGTAATTAAGTTGATGTGAATTGTATTGGGGTTACCTGAAGATTAGACACCCCCAGCTTTATTCACCTGAAGATTAGATGCCCTAATGCTAACCTAACAAAACCTACATAAGAAAATAAGAACATAAGAAAATAAGGAGTCTGCAATAGGCCGGTTGGCCTGTGCATGGCAGCTCCTGTCGAGAGTTACTACCACTCTCTATCATCCATGAATCTATCTAGCCTCCTTTTGAAACTTTCCAGAGTTCCCGCACTTACTACAAAGTTGCTAAGCTTGTTCCACTCGTCCACCACCCTATTTGGGGACCAGTTTCTTCCTATCTCCCTCCTAAACCTAAACTTATCCAACTTGAATCTGTTGCTTCGAGTCCTATCCTGCTCGGATATTATAAGAACTTTATCTATATCCCCTTTATTGATTCCTTTCACCCACTTAATACTTCTATCATATCTCCCTGCACTCTTCGTCTTTCTAGGGAATGCAAGTTAAGTTTCTTTAACCTATCCTGATATGGAAGGTTTCTAAGTCCCGGAATCATTTTTGTCATTTTCAAGCTAATCGACTCTAGTGAATTTATATCCATTCTATAATAGGGCACCAGAACTGAACCGCATAATCGAGGTGCGGCCTCTGACTAGTGCAAGATATAGTTGCAATAAGACCTCTGCACTCTTGTTACTTACACTTCTAGATATAAAACCTAATACTCTGTTTGCCTTATTTCGAACATTAACGCACTTTTCTAGGCCGTAGGTCCGGGCTTACAAGTACCCCTAGGTCTCTTTCACAAGTCGACTTCTCTAGGTTGATGTTGTTAAGGTGTCTAATCATCAGGTAAAATAAACTAGGGTGTCTAATCATCAGGTAAAATAAACTAGGGTGTCTAATCATCAGGTAAAATAAACTGAAGTTGTTTAAACCTTAATACTCTATGCTTACATTTAGTAAACATTACATCGTTTACAGTAAAGTGAGTCGTTCGGTGAGCGATGTGTCAGAGCTGACCTCGACGGCGACCTCTTTGATGAGCCGCAAGTTTGACCGTTTTGAGGAGAAGCGACGGCAACAGCTTGACAAGAAGACCAAAGCTGTCAAGTCTATCTTTCGCAAGTCACAGAGTAAGGGTGAGTGTGTGTGTGTGTTTATCCGGCAATACTGTTACCTTTATTTATATACACTGTCTAGGTACATTGTTTATATACCTACACTGTCTTGGTACTGTTCATTGTTTTGCAGTACATATTCAGTGACCTTTTCCTTGTGTTCCAGACCCCAGTAAAGGAGAGCACGTCAAACCCACGCGACAACACAGCATTGAATCTCAGAGCGTCGGCCAAGAGTTCAACGAATTTCTCAAGGTTAGTGAGTTGGGTTAAGCTAGGTTCGTCATTTCCATTATTGCACCTTGTAAAATTATGCAAATTTTATCGATGACTTTTGTTATTGTTTGGGGCAGCGTTAAGGGCTATCAAATACCCGATGTCGTTAGGTAAATAAACTCTAATCGTCCCTAGTGTCGTAAGGCAAACATGCACTAACGACTCATCCTTCTCCGCAGACCCTAAGCAAGGACACCCAGATTAGGGTCAGCAAGCAGATCAACAGTTTCGTGGACAAGATGTTACGTTGCGTGGAATTCCAGTCGGTCGATGAATCAGGCGAACAGGTCCACGACTTTTACAACACCATGAATGAAATGGTTACTCTGCCTGGAGCCTATCATGGTAAGTGTGGTATGCATGGTCACTGTTGGCAGCCTATCATGGTAAACTTGTTATAGATCGTCAGTATTGGCAGCCTATCATGGTAAACTTGTTATAGATCGTCAGTATTGGCAGCCTATCATGAGAGGGCTAATCTTCATGTGATACTACGACCTTTAGAATTTAACATGATAATTATAGACATTTTAAATTATATGTCTTATCTAGTTTACCAATGTGGTCAAATTTTGTCTTCAATAGTGTTAACAATATGGTCCAATTATGTCCTTCCTAGTGTTACCAATATGGTCCAATTATGTCCTTCCTAGTGTTACCAATTACTGATGGTCGTTCGTCAATTTGATTTATTTTTGTTGTTCTCAGAGTTGACCCAAGAGGAGGTCGACAGGGTAAACGAACTGACGGAACGTTATGTCACCACACGTCTCTACAAGGCTCTCATAACCTTGGTCAACGCTGTCAACGAGGAGAAAGATTTGGCCATACAGAACAGGTAATGAGTGTGTGTGGGTGGGTGGGTGTGGGTGGGTGGGTGTGGGTGTGTGTGTGTGTGTGTGTGTGTGTGTGGGTGGGTGGGTGGGTGGGTGTGTGTAATAATTATAATAATAATAATAATTAACAGTTTATTGAAAAAGTTTGGCAGACCGAAGGCTGAAAATATACACTGGACAAAAATGATTTATTGTATACAAAGACATGGGGTAGGTGGGTCGTTTAACAAAAGCTTTCATTACTAAAAGAAGAAGGAACAATGATTGAACATACAAATTATTATAGTTTACAGTTAGTGGCCCGGGCCCCTGGACTGGTCATGGAGACACTAGGTGGTGTGGTGTTCACCTGGTGTAGTAACTCGTCCTCGGGTGTTGATATGAAGGACCTCACGTGTGTGTGTGTGTGGTGAGGTCATGAACACATGTACAAGGTGTCTGACAGGTCATACACACATGTCCAGGGTGTGTTATAGGTCACTCACACACACACACACACATACACACACACACACACACACACACATGTACACAGTGTCTTACCTGTTAACACAAATGCCAGTGTGTTAATTTTTTCCTCATTTTCATTATTGGTTTATTTATATTTATTTATTAATTTTTTTTTAAGAATTCGCAGTTTGGCTTGGGTGAGCAGCCAGCACCTGGAGTGTGGGGTGAAGGAGACGAGCGAGGAAGTGAGGGAGTCGTTGGACCTCGTTATCACCGGTACGTCACGTTGGTGTGACCCCCCCCCCCGGGTCTCTCCCGCCAAACTTATTTTAAACGCCTCAGTTAAGAACGTTCAGGTTACGGGCAAGTCGAAGGGAATGATTGAAACCCGTCTTTTGGCGCATTCAATATTTATTGATGTGGTCAAAACCGGCAGAGGAGAAGGCGTTCATAATACAGGTTGACAATCCTTTATCCGAAATCCTTGGGGCCAGAGGCCTTTCGGTTTTCGGAATTTTTCGGTTTTCAGAATGGTTAGGTTTTTTTTTTTATGTGTATTAGCCCACCCGGGCATAGATCACTGACCCACATTGGGGCCTGGGGGTCTAAAATATAATAAAAATTATAATAATAATAATAATAATTCATAGGTCTAGGTCGTGTTTCTCACCTTTGATTTTTTATCATTCTTGTATTTCTTTATTGCATTATTATTATTATTATTTTATTATTACAATATTATTATTAATAATGTTGTTATCATTATTAATATTATTAGTATTATTGTTATTATTTTATTTTGTTTTTTTTTTATTAAAAATTTTATTTACTATGAATAATTATTATTATTATAATTATTATTACTATTACTATTACATTTTCGCCCCCCAGGCCCCGATGTGGGTCAGTGATCTGTGCCTGGGTGGGCTAATAATCCCTGTTAAAAAAAAAAAAAAACTTTCGGTTTTTAGAGCTTTTCGGTTTTTGGAATTTCGGATAAAGGGTTGTCAACCTGTATTACAAGGTGATCCATCTGATACATAATTAGTTACTCTCACACAATTTTATCTTAATTACAATTTATTAAACATACAGACATAACACAAAGTTCATAACTCTATTAATCTTAGCTTCGCTTCATTCTGCATTGTCTTATTACTCCAGGTTAGGCAGAAACGAGTAGGAGTAATTAGTCAACAATATTTCAGTACCGAGGGGTATGTCATCACTTAGGCCTTACTTACAAGTGCGGGTCAATGCAGATCAGTATGGCGTTCCAAGAGAAAACAGTATTGCGTAAATCGTCCCAGCACAGGAGAAGGCCGGTCTTCACAGCATCACTGGAGAGGGCGATCTGTCTCATGGAGGGGCGGGCAGCCACCTCCACCAGTCTAAGACAGTCCACTCAGCAGAACCAGGACTTGTCTGTAAACACTTCTACATCTGGCGAGGTCACAAGTCGAAAGGTTTAATGGCATCACACGCCAGCACTGTAGCTGAAGCCAGCGACGATAACACTTATGGTCGCTGGAAAAACTATCCTCACAAAATTGCGTTAGATAATAACACAACGGACCAAGGGTTATAACCTGACCTCACCGAGACAACAGGAGTCACGGTGTTCATTGTGAAAATCATCCCCCAGATAGTATTTTGGTGCGGCTGTGGTGTTTGTAGTCTAAAGGTCTTACATCCTGAAGATTAAACTCCCTAACTGTACACCCTAAACCTAACCTAAACTAACCTAACTTTCATATCTATGTTATTCATTAGATGGAGGGTTTCACATCAAGCGAACTCTCAACAGACTTTAATCTCTACTGTATATAGTTAATTGCATATCTTCACTACAGATTATGTGTCCAACTCTACAGAACTGATCGAGATGAACAGCAAGCGAGTGCCGTCAGACAAACTAAAATGCCTGGTGTCGTCAAGCCACCACGTGCTAAACCTACTGAAGCAGTCTAACGGCGGCTCTCCGGCCTCCGCGGATGACTTCCTCCCGGCCCTAATCTACTGCATCTTACAGGCTAATCCTCCTCTACTACACAGCAACATTGCTTACATCACCAACTTTGCCCAGCAGAGTAGTTTACAGAGCGGAGAAGCCGGGTATTTCTTCACTAACTTGGTACGTGGTATTTGTGGTATCCTTCTGTACAGTAATGGGCCCATCGTCTGGTTTAGCCCCTATAGGTCACCCGAGCATCGCGAGTAACATCATTGTTTGTGTTTACAGTGTTGTGCCGTGGCGTTCATCGAGAAAATGACGGCTGATAGTCTGGGGTTGACGGCAGACGAATTCGAGCGATATATGTCTGGTGTAGCCCTGCCGCCTAATGCCCTGGAGGGAGATGCCTGGCTCTGTGAGGTAAGGGGGGGTGAGGTAAAGGAGGGGGTGTGTGAGGTGAAGGAGTGGGTGTTTGAGGTGAAGGAGGGGGTGTGTGAGGTGAAGGAGGGGGGTGTGAGGTGAGGTAAGGGGTGGGTGAGGTGAAGGAGGGGGTGTGTGAGGTGAAGGAGGGGGGGTGTGAGGTGAGGTAAGGGGTGGGTGAGGTAAAGGAGTGGTGTGTGAGGTAAAGGAGTGGTGTGTGAGGTAAGGTTAGAGTTAGGTAATGCAACTTAACCTTACTCAACATGACCTTACCTAAATTACAGTAGCTTAACACTACCCTAATCTAACCTAACCTACCCTAACATAACCTACCCTAATCTAACCTAACCTAACCTACCCTAATATTTGAAACTAAAACTCGAACCTAATACTTGAACGTTCTCCTCCAGGGTATGAGGGTGATGCAGCAAAACCTGAAGACCCTCGATGACCTCCAAGTCAGGATGGATCGCCTAATTACTGAGTCCGATTCTCTGGTGCAGGAGATGGATGTGATCCAGGTGAGCCTCGACGACCACGATCTTGTTCACTGCCGCACATAACCTCATTAAACTGTATTAGATGAGTTTACGGTGTTAGCTTAGGTTTGGTTAGGTAGACTAGGTTGGGTTTGGTTAGGTATGCTAGGTTGGGTTTGGTTGGGTAGGCTGAGTTGGGTTTGGTTGGGTAGGCTGAGTTAGGTTAGGCATCCTTCATGATGCTAAGTATAAACCTCATTCATCAGGAGAACATGACCAAGGAAGTGACGGCCGTAATTGAACGAACGCCTCTGACCATCCGACCGCGGCGGGCTGACATAGATGAGGAGGTCCCAGCTTCTGATCTCCTGCCACCTCCCCTCACCCCCCAGGTAATTGCTGACCCCCTGATGTAATGGGCGACAGTACCCATTGCAGTCATTTAAAATTTTATTTTTAATTCATTGTGCGCCCCCAAAGTTTGCCCTGTCCAGTATAAATCATCTGTTGTTAGTATTAAAAGTGTCGTCCCTGTAGTGAAGGTGTTAGTGGTGATAGTCTACTAACACCTGGTGTATGGGGTCACCTCTGAGCTGAATAAAATCATCTGTTGTTAATATTAAAAGTGTCGTCCCTGTAGTGAAGGTGTTAGTGGTGATAGTCTACTAACACCTGGTGTATGGGGTCACCTCTGAGCTGAATAAAATCATCTGTTTTTAACCAAATAAGTGAAGTTTATTTTAAGTTTCTAAATATAGTTGACCTTAAGATTAGGCACCCCAGATTATTTGACCTGATTAATAATCACCTTATGTTGGTTTAACCTAATCCGTCTTCACTAACCTAACCTGATTTTGTTGAGGAATAAACCAAATTATTGCCGACCTCAATCGCGATTAATAACGTCGGTTGTTTTCGGCAGATGATGGCGGGCGGGAAACTACTGACCGTCGAGGCGAGCGGCACAGCGACCGGCGGTAGCGGCTATCCCTCGCACCCCTCGACCGCTCCGCTCAGCCCGGATATCTTGGCCGCCCAGCAGAGTCTATCGTTCCTACAGGGGCTGACTGACCTTGGCGCTGGTCTGACACTGGCACTAGACACAGGTGGTTCACAGGGCGTAGAGAACGTCAAGTATCAAGAGAATAAGTCCCTCCTTGACGACTCTCCTCCCTCCAATATGTCTTCCCTTCCCGATCTGCTGGACTCCTTCGGTCCACTGGAGGGCAGCGGACCCGTCAGTCTGCCGTCCGTCGTCGACCCCTTCGTCCGGTCCGCCGGCTCTACTCCTCCTCCTCTGCCACCCAAACACTCGTCCGTTCCGCCGCCCCTCGTCGCCCGGATCGGAGCGGGACCGGCCGTTCTCGATCCGTCGCAGCCGCCCCCTCGGTCGTCGTACTCCGGATTCACCATCCAGGGAGGCAGGATCCCCAACATACCGTGCGACACCGGCCACCTCCCCCACTCCTTCTCCACGCCTCCGGACCCCCTCTCGCCCCCCCTGGAGGGCCCCCAGCCCCCCCTCCCGCCGCCCCTCATCCCCACGGCCTCCGGGGCAGAAGGGGGCAGCAGCGGGGCATCGTCTGAGGTGAGCACCCCCAGGCAACAGCTACAGAAGGAGGACACAATAGACAAGGTGTACAGTGTGTTGGGTGACATCGTCCAGACTTTCGACAGTCTTCTCTGAATCTACGCAACAAACTCTTAATTCGGTCCCTATTTTATAATACTTTTGGCCTCGTGTGCTGAACTTACGTCGACTTTGAGGTTTTGTATTGACCTTTATGGTGTTCATTATATAAGAGTCAAATAATTTAGATTTATACATTGTTTGATCTGTCTATTGAGTTTTAAATGGTGATGGGGAAATATTATCACACACACACACACACACACACACACACACACACACTCACACACACACACACTCACTCTACAGCTCCAAACATCATCTTGACTCTTAACCCCCAAACTGACGTCTCACAGATAAACAAGAATTAATAAACGTATCTTTGTGCCATTTTCTCTAATAGTACGGTTTAGGTACGAAGTTGGGAGAAAATCTTTACATGTTCTCAATGAAATTTATTAGTATGGATGACACACATGTGGTTTTATTATTAACGCTTGCCAAAGATGATTGCACGCCAGTTTAAGTTGTGGTGTGTGATTGTAAAGGATTGTATAAAGATGACCCTAGTTACTTTATTTCACCTGGTGATGAACTATCCTTATGCTAACCTAACTTAACCCCCCCCCCCCAAGGTGTTTGATAACCAGGTGAAGTAAATTTAATGAGGTTAGTCTCAAAGTGATCCTGTTATACTAAAGCTATTCCAAGTAATAGGTCATTATACCCCTTGTACTGTATATAGGAGTTGTGTTTTTTTACATAGCGTTTTTTATCGTGTGTGTTCGGCGTTCCTCTCAATATTGCGTGAATGCCCCGAGGTTGGTAGAGTTGGCCGAAATAGGAATTATCGTCTGTGTTTACTTCTGCGTGCGTGAATGTCATATTGCTTTGTGTGTCTCCAGTGTTTAGGAGCCCCGATTTATTTTCCACGTTATGATTCAACATTTTATTTCTTGCCTAACCTAACCCCAGATTATTTTTCACCTGATAATTAAGCACTGTAAACCTAACCTAACCCCAGTATTCTTTACCTGGTGATTAAACACACTAATCCTGACCTAATGTAACCCTAGTTTATTTGACCCATGTTCTTGTAGCATTACTGTAGTGTGTAACCTAACCTAACCCAACCCAAGCTAACCTGACTTTTGTATTTAGTTTTAAAATGACCTGACCTAATCTGTTTTTAATTTATAGTGACCTGACCTAACTTAACCTAACTTTCGTTCTTAGTTTAAAATAACCAAACCTAACCTGATCTGACCTGACCTGACATTTAATCTTAGTTTTCAATGATGTGACCTAGCATTTATCTTGACTTGTTAAAGGTCACGTGTGTTTCTGCTTTTCGTATTGACGTTGAATATCTCACGAGTCGAGTATTTTTACGTTAGATTTTTATGAAATTTTTGTAAGCATTTCATTAGTCGTTTAATCGTGCGGATAAACGACTCACGGATACTATTGGTGATTCGGAGTATGATGCACGTCTAGAGGTGTGGTTCGTAAATCATTCTTCTGGTTGTGTCCATTTCACTAGCAATATATTAACACTTATTATTTATCACACTCTACAGATCTAATCAGACAGTAATACATTGGTACTCCTTTGTTGACCCTATGACTAGTGTGTTATTACTGTGATGCTGTGACCATTAATCTTACCCTAAATTGATGCTAAGGTTTAATAAAAGGTTTGGAAATATAACTTGGGATAATTTGTCTACAGTCAAATGATGTGTTAAATTCATGTTAAACCCAGCTAAACCTCTCGAACAAATGCTTAAAGGAGATTGAAAGTGATTGGTTAACGCTCACAGGATCATGGTGACTCATGGGTTCGTTTATTTCACCAACCTATGGCATTATGCTTATTCCCGACTGTTAAATAGGTCTCGATTTTTTTTTTTTCCCGTACATGAGTTTTGAATAGTTCCTATGGCTAGTGTTGGGGTCCTGAAGGAATTGGAATGTTTTCGTTTATACGGACTTTTCCCGAGTTTACTATGTCTGTATTATGTGATTGGTTGGTTGAGATGACGGTTATTGCTGGTGGTCTAAGGGGTCTCTTTCTAGTCTCGTTGTTATTAATGTACAGTGAAACCTCCATATAATGCGCTTCACATCTCACGGAACCTTGATATAATGGGCTTTCCTCTGTATATAGTCCGTTAAATCGAGGTTTCACATCTAATGGACCCTTGATATAATGGGCTTTCCTCTGTATATAGTCCGTTAAATCGAGGTTTCACATCTAATGGACCCTCGATATAATGGACTTTCCTCTATATATAGTCCGTTAAATCGAGGTTTCACTGTAAAATAAATGGCTATAAATATCGGTGTATTATGAGGTAAAAAACTCTGGTTGTTGAGTCAAACTAGGAAGAATGAGACAGCCATATTAAGTTAGGTGTGAAAGCAACTATATTTAGTGTATTAATTAAAGCTATATAAATATATATAACCAAAGATATAGAGTGGATGATTGTATAGAAGATTCACAACGTGTTATTTATTAACCTTAATGCACCTCTAATTATCATCTAGGTACGGGAGTTTTATTACTAAAAAAATAAAGAACTTATATCGACCTTGAGTTTATTTTTTTATCATTGACAATAGTTAGGATGATACCATTCTTGAGGGTGACACTGTATCACTACCACTACCAACAACACCACCACCACTATCATCGTTGAATGTTAATAACACGATCTTAGTAGTGGTGACATTGCAGAAAAGCACAGTACGGATGTCCCTCATTAATGCTACAACTAATGTACAGTACAGCACAGTACAGTATAGTACAGTTCAGTACAGTACAGTATAGTACAGTACAGATGTCTCTCATTAATGTTACAACATGTAAATAAATGTATCTTTAACAGGGTGAGTTAAAAGTCAGTTATAATAGGAGAAAGTTATTTATTTCCTTGTTTACAACGACTGATTTAACTGAGAACTCTTTACGTGAATGTGTTGTGATGTAGTCACTGAAGAGCGGCGACGTACAGTACAGTGTGTGTAAAAAAAGAAAAGTTTCCACTGAGAAGGTATATTAATACACCCTGTACCTGGACCCTAGTGGCAGGAATGTGGACTGAGGACCACCATATGTACGGTAATAACACAGTAAATATAGTTTATACCTTTAGAATAACTCAAGAGGCACTAGAGTGTGAAGTAACAAGACGATCTGTGACCAAGAGGAGAGAGTAAAATAAACTTAACAAGACTTAACATAGTTTCCCTTACCAAAGTGACTCTCTCTTAAATATTAAATGCTTATAAATATATTTAAATAATTGAGTGAACAATTGGTAAATTTTTATTTATTTTTATTTAGTAATTAGCAAATACAAATTAAACTAAATAAATAAATAAAAAAAGAAATATATGCAGAAATAAAGGAGAAATAACAAAAACATCCAATATTACCAAAACTATAATAAAAACCCACAATAAAAACTAGAAACAAAAAAGATGTGGATCATCCTTCTAGTGACACAAGGGTCATGGAGGGACTCCCCTAACATATAAAGGCCCAAGAAAACATGAAATAGAATAACTTGGCCTGACTGAGACCGGCCTGGTACTGCACCCTCAGAGCTAATGGTTCATCTCTATATCACCAACCAACCCAACTACTTCAATACTGTTGTCGACAGTGAAGGACAGACCGAGACTGTCAAGACATAAACAAATTTAATAAAAAAATTATCTATGAGGTCAATATTTATTATATTGGCTGTGACTTAATACTTGCATTTTACTCCAAGTTCACTGATCAAATATAATAGTTACCCCAGGAACGTTTTCTGTGATCAAATATAATAGTTACCCTAAAACCTTCCTCTTATTAAAGCACAATCCTTTATATTCTTCTTCCTCTCATCAAAACACAATCGTTTTTATTCTTGTTCCTCTCATCAAACCACAAGGAAATAACACAAGATAGATGGAAGAAACAAATGTCAAAGTGTGTGGTAATGGTCCCTGCTGGAGGGAGGCCTTATATAAAGTTATCAAGGCATTATTGCCAAAGTACACACAGTGACAAAATTGACACAATTTAAGATAATTAATAATATGATAGAATATTGTTATAATTGTTAGATCATTTAAAACTAAATGTAATGTAAAAGTTGTTCCTTTTATAGAGGGTGAGAGGGAGCCGTGTGTCATGGCCTCCTCCATGTAAACAAAGCGGAGAAAAATATTGTGAAGAAAATTGGTTTGTGTTAAAATGAAGTTGTGGAGGACCTACTAGTTTAGGGTGTGAGAGGATTTTATAATATTAGAACGCATGTGGTGCACGTATTTATAGCAATTCCTTATTTACCTCACTTATATATCAGTCAATACCTTATTATTTCAATACCGCTTACTGTATCAATTTATTAGCCATAATATAACATTCTAAGGTTGTTGTGGCCACATATTATTGTAAATTAATGCAAAGGAAGATAGAACATTTAAATTAACCAACAGCTCAACGTTTAATAATTTAGGTATAGACTAAAAATGTTACCCAACCAACCCAATGTCCGCAAGAGAAGTGGGACATCTTTGAGATCATGTATATATAATGATTAAGCATTTATTATAAATACCTAGTGTAATAATGCCTGGGTTGTTTCAATTCCGTCCACAATCCCGCTTAAACTATAGACACACCCTCAGAGCTAACGGTCATCAAATTGGATATTTATTGCTGTACAGCCAAAAGAACACTCTACAATCCTGTGTGTGGAGCCTTAGCAACAGCAATTGTATTATCCATGTTCTGTGGATGATAGTATTAATGGTAAATTTAATGGTTACCGTTCAAATGATTATGAAATTATGCTGATGGATGTAAAAATGGTGATTTGATCTTATTGTTTAAAATTTTTAAAATTTAGAAATAAAAAGCTTGATTTTGTGTAATTTGACATTTTACAACATCTCTCATGGGAAGAGTACAGTGTATACTTGAATTTTGTATTTAGGTATATAGGTGTGAAATGTATGTATGGAGAGCAGGCAAATTAATTTAGAAACTCAAAACTTAAACTTACCCCAAATTCCTAAACCTAACCCATGAATTATACCAAGATCTGGTTGTTAACAAACCAGCTAACAAAATATCTCAAATTATATACTTACATTCTGCAGGCAGAAATGCCATATAAATAAAAAGTGTCGAACGATCAAAAACTACTGATTGTAACCCAAAATTATTAAAATTGCGGCAACATAATATCATATTAACTAGCTAAAATTACACAATTTCAATTAGATATAAGTACCAGTATTTTTTTTTTTTCGCTCTTCTCCAAATAATATGAACATAAACACTTCAGAAAGGATAGGTCATGGGTTGATGGTATACCAGGGTAAAAACATGAAGAACTGATAGATGTATAACAATGTTCACAAAGTGTACTAGGTACCAATTATTTATCAAATAATTCAGCTCCTAAAATATACGGCATTGTAAAGTATATGTCTCAAACCAATAAAATACTGACTCCGTAATATCATACTCTTAACTTGTCAATAAATGACACAGAGCCACATTGGGGCTTACTACCATAAATATAGAATTACTTGACTTTTTTAGGTTTTTACTATCCAGACCATAGTCTACGATTCCACAAATCCCTTTATTTATTTTTTTCGTTTGAAGTTATGATTCAAACTATTCTAGTGCACATTGCAAATTGTAGAATGTATATTGTTAAATCAAACTCATAATATGAGCTTGTTCAAGTTCTTTGAGTAGTATTGGTTAATGAGTGAAACTTATGTTCTTATATTTTATTTTCTCCAGAAAGGTGACTGTGTTGGTTGCTGTTTATCAAATCACCAGAATTATCTGCAAGATCTATTGTCAGATTTTAGAAATGAGTGGTGGGGCCTGTTCAACCACCAAGAGGCCAAGATTATTTATTAACGACTTGTTATATATGACATTATTAGTTGTAATTTAAAAGGAAACCATTTGCATATAAAACCAATTATACAACAGAACACAAACTTTATTTAGTGAGCAACTAAACAGCCAGCCCACAACATTTGCGGTACTGTATAGAATTCATAAATATTAAACGGCACAATACATATATGTAAATATAGCTTAAGTATATACGAAGAATACAACTGAACAAACAATTTTTTTCAAATAACCAACAGTAATAATAATGAAACGATATGTTGAAAATTGACAATAGAAAATAATATAAAAATATTCTCTCCATTAATAACTTTATATAATATACTTGTACCTATTATGACAGGGATAATTAACCCAATACAATTTAATTTTCCTGCTTTTTTTCCTCCTCAAGTCTAATTTCTAAGTATTCCCCAAAATATAGCCAAGCACCAGCTACTTTTTTTTCACGGTAGGTGAGTCATTGAATGCCTAGTGGCCAGGTAAGCACGTGACAGTTGAGAAGGAGTGTTCACATATTGCAGTGCTTGGTGTACCAAAGGTGAGAGGAAGCCGCATAAGCCGTGTATGTGAGTTAATCCATTTCAGAAAGTATATATCTGAATTTTCACCTAAATGTTTTTTGAGAACTGGGCAATAAAATTCTAATGTCACTTAGCAACATGACATCTACTTACCAGAAGAGACCAGTGTCAGCCACATATGAGTTTAGCCAAATGGGGCAAGATCCTTGAAGTAATAAACAAGTCTTGGATTCTGGGCCAAATGACTAGAAACAGACTGCAAGTATCCTGGAGTTGGAGTTCACCAAACTCAGCATTGAGCTCTACTAAGGCAAAGTATTCCAAAAGACAAGTACAGTTGATTGATGTAAATCAGCTTCACTATCAAAACCTGGCGAACACAGAATGTCTCATATATACTTGGTAAATTGTTAAGTATTGGGGCAGTTTGTGTTATGCTTTTATTCCCATGGTATTCTTGTAAGCACGATGATCAAGTCTTTTGATGAGATATTCTTTCATTGCCAGTGGCGTTGTTGTCTAGATGTCTAACACTACTGGATGAGATCCACATAAAGAATTCTTGTCATGAAGTCAGTCATGGGATTGTAAAGCTGATCTGGCAGGTCCAAGTGTCGCAGAAATTCCTTCACATGTATGCAGCATGAATTCTTCTGCATTTTATCTGTTTCAATAATCCAAAGGCCATTGCTGCATCACACTCAGCTTCTACATGACGCGCTATCCAATCCTTTTGAAGAAGGTACCAGCTGGTTGAAAAATGGGTGATGGACCACTGCTTGCTTTTCCAAGTATGCACCATTGCTAACCAAATGTATGGATAACTTGAATTAATTCTGCCACTATATATCTGTATTTATTGTGCACCTATACTTATCCTGGCAGAAAACAAAAGAATTACAGGATGGAGACTGGCAAATTACACCAACCCCAGTGGTCAGACATTATGACATTGAATGCTATGAGCATTTCAAATACATTGTTTATTGGCTTTTTAAAAGCATCGAGGGCAACTTATTCAACTGCCTGAGCACAAGTGAGGGCAATATGCCTGCCACACACTTTGTTATCGACGGGCTGAGAAGCGGGTCGCGCTGTGTGTTTGGTTCTATAGATGGGAAATGATATATACAACTGAGTTCAAAAAGTATGCAGTCTAAGACATCACCTCTCTCTTGCCATTTAGATAAAGTGTTATCTATTTCACACACAGTGTATTTGGGAATTTCGGTCCGTAAAGCGTTCCGGCTTTCTGCACACAGTCGGCGGATGTGTATTCTGAAGTTTCAGGTCATTTGTTTGATCACACACTTCTTTGCATTTAGTTTTTTTTCACATCTGTTGAGGATATACTGCCAGAGTGTACCATATCCTCGTACCTTACTTCCAGTAGTTCCATTATCTTGTAATCTAAAGCATCTAGTTCTCTGTCTATGTATAGCATGCTCACTTGATACTTCATCATGGTAGCCATTGCACGACTAATGCCTGTTTGCACTTGTTTGTTGCAACAACCCATCAATCTGTTCTGCTTCAGTAAAATGTTTTTTATGGGTTCTTTTTTTATAGGCTCCAAATTGTGCTTTAATATGTCTTTTGTTAGATGTAGAAGTTTGGCGAGGGCATCAACTTCAATATGTTCTTTGAGTACCTGTGTGGGAGAAGGATCAAAATAGCTTGATCTTTGACACCTCCATCAACAAGGTCTACATTTGCCCGGCTTCACAGACAAATGCGTGACAACTTGCTAAGAGTGCTATATAGAGAGTCAGTGATGA